GGGGGGGGGGGTGCAAATCGGAAGTTTGAGGGGGGGTGCAAATCGAAAATTTGAAAGTTTGTCCCCGGGAAGGGTTGCTACGCCTCTGGGGGGGGTGACACCATTAAGTGCCGGGTGACACCCAACCTCGCTACGCCATTGGGTCCATTGTAGGGTTGGGCAGTGTGGAATAGCTTTTAGTTTCCTCGTCAGAAAAATCATTTTACTACCAGTGGCAATAGGCAATGTGGGCGATGTTTTATGTGTCATCTCCGTGAACCACTAGCAGTTGAGTTATGAGCTGATTAGACAACTTCTTTTAACCCTGTTCCATGAACCACCTCTAGTTCCACGAACCACCTCTAGTTCCACGAACCACCTCTAGTTCCACGAACCACCTCTAGTTCCACGAACCACCTCTAGTTCCACGAACCACCTCTAGTTCCATGAACCACCTCTAATTCCACGAACCACCCCTAGTTCCACGAACCACCTCTAGTTCCACGAACCACCTCTAGTTCCACGAACCACCTCTAGTTCCACGAACCACCTCTAGTACCACGAACCACCTCTAGTTCCACGAACCACCTCTAGTTCCATGAACCACCTGTAGTTCCATGAACCACCTCTAGTTCCACTAACCACCTCTAGTTCCACGAACCACCTCTAGTTCCACGACCCACCTCTAGTTCCACGAACCACCTCAGAAGAACGATCCAGCCCATAACACGAGAAGGACGTGTTAAGTGGACGCCGGCACTGAAACAAATCCTCCATGTTGAACGTGTCCAAATAAACAAAGAAATAATTTGAAAGTGCTCATGAAAGCACACGAACCGGGGCCATCCTTAATAGTGTTTTAGTGTGAGTAAACTTTGGCCAACAGATGGCTACCACGTGAGGACACACGCCCTAGCTCGTGCGCCTTGGATCTCACCTCAAAGCTCCAATTGGAATTATAAGTTAGCGCCCCTTTCTCTCACACTTCCGGTCTTGTCATCAGCATCAAACGCTGGAGCCGCCGCCGAGAGGGGAGATGCTGAAGGGTGCCCCGAGCCCCAGCACTTCCAGGGTAGTTTCTCATTTCACAGAGAGGGGAAATATTTCAATTGTGTTGGTCTCGCCACTTAGAGACGGTCATGTGTACTCCAACACAAGACAGAACTTCAAACACAAACAAATACAAAAACGATCCAATACAAAGCATATTTATACCGCTTTACATGGGTTGGTTTTAAATCTCGGAGAAGGAAAACCAAAACGTCTAAGATTTAAATGTTAGTTTAGCTGGCAGCGTCAGTCAAGCGTGTATGTCCAGTGCCATAGCGCAGACGTTCAGTGCAGTGTGCGGATAGTTGTCTCAAAATTATCAGCTGATTTCTTTGTGCTGGCTGTGTTAGCAGACAGACACAAGACACACACTGAACATAGACACATTGAACATAGACACAGTGAACATAGACATACTGAACATAGACACTGAACATAGACACACTGAACATAGACACAGTGAACATAGACACAGTGAACATAGACACAGTGAACATAGACACAGTGAACATAGACACAGTGAACATAGACACAGTGAACATAGACACTGAACATAGACACACGGAACATAGACACATGGAACATAGACACACTGAACACAGACACACTGAACATAGACACATTGACAAATTGATACATTGAACATAGACACACTGAATATAGACATATTGAATATAGACACACTGAACATAGACACACTGAACATAGACACAGTGAACATAGACACAGTGAACATAGACACTGTGAACATAGACACAGTGAACATAGACACAGTGAACATAGACACAGTGAACATAGACACAGTGAACATAGACACAGTGAACATAGACACAGTGAACATAGACACAGTGAACATAGACACTGAACATAGACACACGGAACATAGACACATGGAACATAGACACACTGAACACAGACACACTGAACATAGACACATTGACAAATTGATACATTGAACATAGACACACTGAATATAGACATATTGAACATAGACACACTGAACATAGACACACTGAACATAGACACAGTGAACATAGACACAGTGAACATAGACACTGTGAACATAGACACACTGAACATAGACACACTGAATATAGACACAGTGAACATAGACACAGTGAACATAGAGACAGTGAACATAGACACACTGAGCATAGACACATTGACAAATAGACACATTGAACATAGACACACTGAATATAGACACATTGAACATAGACACACTGAACATAGACACAGTGAACACATACACACCGTTAACACATACACACACATCTAACTGACCTTTCGAACGGCCTGGACTTGACACAATCTGGACCCCCCCACCCCCCCCCTCCCCGTCTTTTTACCGGGCCTTGTAAAGGCCGGCCACGCCCCTGATTGGACGGGAAAATATTATTCCGCCAGCGAGTTTTGATGCACACGAATCACTTTACAAGGTAAATCTTATTTCTTTGAGTTAAAGATCACAGGGGTGGGGAGGGGGAGGCTCACATAGGGGGATGTTTGGAGAGTTCTGGAATACACGGGACTCGGGGCTTTGATGTTGTAGACTGCTGACAGAGAGAAGGGACGGGGTGGGGGTGTGGCAACTATCGGATCGTGTTGTTGTTGGTGCTGGTCACATGAACAACACGTGACATTTGACATGTGACATTTGACACGTGACATTTGACACGTGACTAAAGTTCATAAGGTGATTTTCACAGAAACATTTATCAGTGCACCAGTGCACCAGAACAGAGACATTGACCAGTGCACCAGAGACATTGACCAGTGCACCAGAGAGATTGATCAGTGCACCAGAGACATTGACCAGTGCACCAGAGACATTGACTAGTGCACCAGAGAGATTGACCAGTGCACCAGAGAGATTGACCAGTGTACCAGAGACATTGACCAGTGCACCAGAGAGATTGATCAGTGCACCAGAGAGATTGACCAGTGCACCAGAGATATTGACCAGTGCACCAGAGACATTGACCAGTGCACCAGATCAGAGACATTGACCAGTGCACCAGAGACATTGATCAGTGCACCGGACCAGAGTAGTTTCAAAATTGCTTGAAGTTTGAATGATGTTCACTAACTTTTTTTTTTTTATATGTTCACTAACTAAGAGAATATTCCGGTATTTCAATGGTCTCTACGAGTATAGTAAGTAATATTATCTAAACGTATGATGTAGAAACAAATTAAAATTCCATAACGAACCCTAGATTGTGTACTGATTTATAAAAATATTTTGTGAAATTAAAACAAAAACTGCATGTTAATTAAACGTACTGTATTTTTTAAAATGAATATTATTTATATTCTGAAATTAACCCTTTGAGCCCGCCAGGCCGGTAAACCGGCTTCAACATTAGGCATATATGTCCGAAAAGCCGGTTTTCCGGCCCGATGATCTAGCATCATATTCCTAGCGGCCGATATACCGTCTAATTAAATATAATTAGCGGAAGACTGACTAAAACTGCGCAAATGTCTTTTTAGTGCGTGATTATGATTCTAAAAATAGATTTTAGGAAAAGTGAAAGTGTTTACATTTCGTAGCAATGCCGCCGAAACGAAAAGTTGAGCCACGGCCATCGACTTCAGCACATAAAGAGGGTGCAAAAGATGAAGCAAAAGACCGAAATATCAACACAAGAAGTAGAATGACTGCATCTCAGGCAATACAACTACTTATTGATTCTGATGAAGAAGATAATATTCCTGGTCTATATTATGATGATGGTGACGTTGAATTTGAGACTGAACTCAGTGACATTGAAATTGACAGTGACAACGAAACTGTTCAAGTACGTTATGATGCACGTGGTGCCAAGGACAAAGACTTGCCGAAACGAAAAAAAAACTGTTCACTGGTGCAAAACATGCTAAGTTTTTCTTTGCATCGGGTCCGGCAGTGATAACTGTTTTGAAAGTTATCACACAAAAGTGGACTTCTGGCGATGAACTAGTATGGCCAGGTATCAATAATAACAAAACAATTACTAAATGTAAATTGTTTCTTCTATGTTCTATCAAAACAATAATTATGTGTTCGATTTATATACATTGTTCTGTTCATACACTGCAAACAAATAAAGAATTTCAGAATCTTTCTGCTTTGGGGTTTGATCCTGAGTCTGGATACCAAATTTGGCTTGATTATCTCAAACGGTTGAAAAGTTATAGGCAAAGTTAGAAGCATATAAGTGAAAATTGGTTTGGCCCTGGGAGCTCAGGAAATGGGAGAAACTAGGCCAGGGAGGCCAGGGCTCAAAGGGTTAAGAGTTGTGAACGCAGATAATAGCCCAGGTTGGGTTAAAAAAAATATTCGCAATATTCGGCGTTACCCAACGCAATAAACATTTATTTAAAAACGGTATTAAGAATTACTGCCCCTTCTCCTGATCAGACAATGTTTACGAACCAAAAAGCAAATCCCTCCCGTCCATGGGCTCTGGGCAGCTGGTTCGTATCGAGCCGGCTCGCCGAGTGACGCTGGCTCATCTTGAGCGGCTCTTAGGGGCCCTCGCCGGCCCGAGTTGTCCAAGCGAGGGCCCTAAGAGAGGATAATCTAATTAAATCTCGTGTCGATATTATTTCTAGCCGGAGACCGGCGTCCGGCTCTAGCCCTACAAGAAGCTGCCGGGTGAGATGGGAACAGTTTCACCAGGCCGGACATTGATTTCCGTTAATTCCGGCTCCACACAAGTGGGGTCCGGCTCCACACAAGTGGGGGAACAACTCCTTCACTTCGATACCCGCTCATCAAGGTATCGCTCTGCAGCCGTACAAACTACGGACAACAACCCGATACTTTTTGTCTCCCTGAAACGATTACCGGAAAGAAAATGAATTTGTTTCGAAAGATAATCCTCACGTTTTCGAGAACCATTCAAGCCCTCTAGTCCTTAGACTCCATGTTGTTGTGTGAAAAACTAATTTATTCAGCACCGGACTCGCTCATTGGCTGAACGGGTTCACGTGATGCACCAGTTGAATTAATTCGAAACCTGGGCTATCAATCGACAAAGCATGGGTAATTAAAATCTCAATGATGAATCGTAAGTTTTTTTAAAAACACGCGACCAAGCGATCAGGACCGAATGCAAGTAACGTGCGGAGATAAGTGTACTCAAATACAATTCTTTAGATATTTCATTGTTCAAATGTGTGTGTAGATATTTGTGTGTTGAGATATCTGTGTCTTAATAGATGTGTGTGTTAAGATTTTGTTTTCAAACTTAAATTGTTCAAATATTTCTGCTTTGCGGTATGCATGTGTCTAAATGTTTATGTGTCCGATTGTTTTAAAATGTCTCGACATTTTGGTTAGAGAAAGACTTGTTAAAGAATTGTTCACCAAATGTCTAGACATGATTTTATCATTGTCTAATTCACAGAACTTAGTTTAAAAATAAATTTTCACGTTACCTAATTGTCATTGGTTTTAGGGGATGGTGTGGCTTATGTGGTAAACTATAACACGAGATGATTTCTATGGAGATGTGTTATAACGTTATATAAGGTTATGGGTTGGTAATAACGCTTTTTTGTGTGTTTTCAATACAAGGTACACGGTCGCTAATGGTATCGACTCTATCACGATACCGACTACTGACCACGACCTTCCGGTCACGTTCTAACCACGTGCCGACCACCCCACAACCGGACAGTTTAAGAAGATTCCAGACCGAATTAAGGTCTCGCAGACAGGAAATGGGTGTCGGGTTGCCTTGGAACCTTCTAGAAGCTCAGCCTCGAGAGCGGGAGCTGCCGCTGAACAAGCGAGGGGCCTTAAGCGCAAACATTTTGTCGGCCAAAGGGAAGTAAGAGGCGGTGCAGATGAAACATTGACTTCAATGCACATCTTCAAGTCCGGCGAGTGGTTTAAAATCAGGAGACATCTTTGTACTTAAAACCAGTTTCCGGTGCATTCCGATCGTGGGTCGCCTTATGGCGGCACAAAAACACTTGGGTGTGTGGAGAAGTTTGTTAAATGTTGAGCAATGTTGCAGTCAGTCGGTGCGTTAGGGCTCTCTGTTCCCGTCCCATTCATCTAGCCCCACCCCATTGCTGGCCCCACCCCACCCCCCTCCGCCGCCACCACTAGAAGTTCTGATGTAAAGCGACAACGTTGTAAATGTTGAGATATCTAGATAAATGTCTAGAAGACCTCACACTTGTGACCTTCATGAGATGAGACCTTGTGTAAGACCTTCATAGGATGAGACCTGAGGTGAGGGAGAAACAAAATACAAACACGACTTTTAGGCTTGGTAAAAAGTAAAGTAGGACTGTCTTAAGGTAAAAAGTAAAGTAGAACTGCCTTAAGGTAAAAAGTAAAGTAGAACTACCTTTAGGTAAAAAGTAAAGTAGAACTGCCTTTAGGTAAAAAGTAAAGTAGAACTGCCTTTAGGTAAAAAGTAAAGTAGAACTGCCTTTAGGGAAAAAGTAAAGTAGCTTAAGGTAAAAAGTAAAGTAGAACTGCCTTTAGGTAAAAAGTAAAGTAGAACTGCCTTTAGGTAAAAAGTAATGGTAAAAAGTAAAGTAGAACTGCCTTTAGGTAAAACGTAAAGTAGAACTGCCTTTAGGTAAAAAGTAAAGTAGAACTGCCTTTAGGTAAAAAGTAAAGTAGAACTGCCTTTAGGGAAAAAAGTAGCTTTAGGTAAAAAGTAAAGTAGAACTGCCTTCAAGTAAAAAGTAAAATGGAAATGCCTTAAGTAAAAAGTAAAGTAGAACTGCCTTTAGGTAAAAAGTAAAGTAGAACTGCCTTTAGGTAAAAAATAAAGTAGAGCTGCCTTTAAGTAAAAAGTAAAGTAGAACTTCCTTTAGGTAAAAAGGTAAGTAGAAGTGACTTCAAGCCAAGAGTAGATTGTCATGGAGAAGTTACCATTTTGGATCAGACAGTCTATAGGGAAGGCGAAGTAGAGTTCGGTCAGTTCTTTAGATCTGAACAGTAGACCATCACAAATACAAACAAAAATAAATCATTAAATGTTCATCTATATTTTGTTTTTTAATTCCCAAACTAACAAATAGCAATCAAGATTTACGGAACGACGTGGGTTTCTAATGAGTTAATAAGAACAGTCGGACTACCTACTATTTTTTTTTTACAAATGCTTTAGTAAAACTGAAAGTTAATTTAAAAATTATGATTTATTGTTACTTAGTTGATACAATAAAGAGCCACCTCAGTGTGTTAAATAATTCTTATTATGTTACATTGGCATCAAGGCGCATGTGTAGTGTGTACATGTGTTATGGGGTACCATAAGCTCCCGTGTCAACATACTACAGACGTGTATCTATAAACGATGTTTTTTTTCACGTTTGTGTAACATAGTGGCATCAAGCTGGATGTATTAGCTTTCATGTTAAACTGTTCCCTCCAACCTGAATATGCTAGCATTGAATGCTAAACTGTTGCCGACATCTTGAATGTGCTAGCGTTGAATGCTAACCTGTTTACAGTTATTATCTTGTATAATTACTTTTGGTGAAACAAAAATCTCAAACGGCTTGAAAATGGCTGAGCTACACATCCGCCGCAATTGATGTGTGTATAATTTGTTAATGATGTGTGTATAATTTGTTAATGATGTGTGTATAATTTGTTAATGATGTGTGTATGAGCTCTACATGAGCCGTACATACGCCGCACATACTCCAAACACGATGCGTGTATGTCACATAAACTTACATTACACGTACATTCAACGTATTTGATTGCGTACATGATAGTGTACAAGTTTTTATATATGTTTGTGTACATGCTTGTGTACATCTCTGTGTAAACATTTGTGTACATGCGTGTGCACATGAGCCGTGCGTGAGCCACCAGCGCGTGACTCTCACGACAACAACCCCCTAACCGTAACGTTAACCATGACGTTAAACGTAACGGTAACCATGACGTTAACCGTAACGTTAACCATGACGTTAACCATGACGTTAACCATGACGTTAACCATGACGTTAACCATGACGCTAACCATGACGCTAAACTTGACGTTAACCATGACGCTAACCATGACGCTAACCTTGACGCTAACCTTGACGCTAACCATGACGCTAACCCCTCCAGCCCATCGAGAAGAGTTTGGGCCATTCGCCCAAGCAATCAGCACGGATGATTAGAGCCCGCGGTTTACCCGCCGTTTACCTGCCGTTTACCTGCCGTTTACCTGCCGTTTACCTGCCGTTTACTTGCCGTTTACCTGTCGTTTACCTGTCCTGCCGTGCCGACAAATGCAAATTTTCTTTGACTCATCTGCCGAGCAGCGTTTGAAGCGGGTTTGAAAACATTTCTCTACCTGCAGGCAGCAAGATGCGGGGATCCATCTTCCCCGGCCTGTAGCGCTGACACCCCCAACCCAGCGCCCCGTGACGAAGCCGTGCTTACAAATGTAAGGCACGACGCTGCCTTGTTGTTATTTGCCATTAACTAACTACAATCCCACACCTCCTCTCAGCTAGCCGAAAATATTGACAGCCCCAAACGAGGCTGAACAAAGACTAGCGTAAATTGCCGCGCTAAGATTGCCAAAACACAAGAAGGAAATGGATCTGTGAGGCGGTATTGCTGCCCCCGGCTCTAGGGGCGCGCGTGATGAAAGTCTAGGGAAACTTTGGCACTGGGAGAGTTATTGAAGCGCTGACAACTGGATTTCTTAGCGGGGAGAACCGGTTTCTGGGAATTTGGATAAACGGAAAAACCCGTTAAAAGATTATTTATTTTTGCAGCAGAAATTTTTCCCATCGCGGTTTTTGAGCGCGCGAGTGTTGAGCGAGTAAACAGGCTGATACCCGCCTGATTGCGTGCGGGGATTTCTCTCGAGATTGTTTAGTGAGTTCTTGTAAGCATCAAACGGTGCCACCTCGCGGGGAATCCAAGTTCTGCCATGTCCTGAGTACTCGTCTACACAACTATCTCACCTTTTGTTGCCGTCCGCCCGTGGGTAAACACGACACATCGCCAGCGGCCCAATCTTGCGGATCCTTTATTTGTTTAGTAGACCCGTGGGGGTCGCGGCTCTAAGCGCACCCCTACCTTGTGTTTGTTTTCATATCAACTCGTCACCCTGTTGTGATGATCTCGAGAGCCGGGCGAGCCCCGGGCCCCCAGCTAGAGAAACTTTTGAGAGCAGGGCCCCCAGCTAGAGAAACAATTGAGAGCCCCCCCCCCCCCCGCCAGGTAGAGAAACTATTGAGAACCCACCCCCCCCCCAGCTAGAGAAACTAGAAAGCCGGGCCCCCAGCTAGAGAAACTATTGAGAACCCACCCCCCCAGCTAGAGAAACTATTGAGAGCAGGGCCCCCAGCTAGAGAAACTATTGAGAACCCACCCCCCCCCAGCTAGAGAAACTATTGAGAGCAGGGCCCCCAGCTAGAGAAACTATTGAGAGCCCCCCCCCCCCGCCAGGTAGAGAAACTATTGAGAACCCACCCCCCCCCAGCTAGAGAAACTATTGAGAGCAGGGCCCCCAGCTAGAGAAACTATTGAGAGCAGGGCCCCAAGCTAGAGAAACTATTGAGAGCAGGGCCCCCAGCTAGAGAAACTATTGAGAGCAGGGCCCCCAGCTAGAGAAACTATTGAGAGCCCCCCCCCCCTCGCCCAGGTAGAGAAACTATTGAGAGCCCCCCCCCAGCTAGAGAAACGATTGAGAGCAGGGCCCCCAGCTAGAGAAACTATTGAGAGCAGGACCCAAAGCTAGAGAAACTATTGCGAGCCCCCCCCCCCCCCCGCCAGGTAGAGAAACTATTGAGAGCAGGGCCCCCAGCTAGTGAAACTATTGAGAGCCCCCCCCCCCGCCAGGTAGAGAAACTATTGAGAGCAGGGCCCCCAGCTAGTGAAACTATTGAGAGCCCCCCCCCCCCCGCCAGGTAGAGAAACTATTGAGAGCAGGGCCCCCAGCTAGTGAAACTATAGAGAGCCCCCCCCCCGCCAGGTAGAGAAACTATTGAGAGCAGGGCCCCCAGCTAGAGAAACTATTGAGAGCCCCCCCCCCCCCCTCGCCCAGGTAGAGAAACTATTGAGAGCCCCCCCCCCAGCTAGAGAAACGATTGAGAGCAGGGCCCCCAGCTAGAGAAACTATTGAGAGCCCACCCCCCCCAGCTAGAGAAACTATTGAGAGCAGGGCCCCCAGCTAGAGAAACTATTGAGAGCAGGACCCAAAGCTAGAGAAACTATTGAGAGCCCCCCCCCCCCCGCCAGGTAGAGAAACTATTGAGAGCAGGGCCCCCAGCTAGTGAAACTATTGAGAGCCCCCCCCCCCCCCCGCCAGGTAGAGAAACTATTGAGAGCAGGGCCCCCAGCTAGAGAAACTATTGAGAGCCCCCCCCCCCCCCCCGCCAGGTAGAGAAACTATTGAGAACAGGGCCCCCAGCTAGAGAAACTATTGAGAGCCCCCCCCCCCCCCCCCAGCTAGAGAAACGATTGTGGTTATTTGCAGACACTTGCCTTGCTGCCGTAAGCCTTGGTTGATGTTTCGCTCTCACCTAGCTGACTTTAAAACAACGGGTGCACGTGAGTGATAGCACCGTTCGCGTGAGTGATAGCACAATTCACGTGAGTGATAGCACAATTCACGTGAGTGATAGCACCGTTCGCGTGAGTGATAGCACAATTCACGTGAGTGATAGCACAATTCACGTGAGTGATAGCACAATTCACGTGAGTGATAGCACAATTCACGTGAGTGATAGCACAATTCACGTGAGTGATAACACAATTCACGTGAGTGATAGCACAATTCACGTGAGTGATAGCACAATTCACGTGAGTGATAGCCGAGCCACTTGTGTGCTACTACCTAAGGGAGGGAGAGGGGAGAAGGACGGTGGTTCACTGATTAAATGGTGCACGTCATGAGGAGAGCCTTGCTAAAATTAATTACTTTAAAACATGTTCAAACATAATACATGCTGGTGTTAGATCGGTCAAGGTCGATTATTCAGCATGGCTTCGTTTGTAAATATATTACCCATGGTGTAAATATTGTAAACATATTACAGTAAGGCGTAAATTAGCCGATGGGGTAAATATTGTAAACATGTTGCAGTATTATATGAACATTAATTAATAGCTTTGATAAATAATGAGTAAATTAAATTGTATACGCCCATAAACCTAAAATTGATATCGATAGAGTTTCTTCTGTTGATCTGCTTGATCTTCGCAATCGGTACATTTCAAATCTCTATAACAACATTCACAACATTCATTTCAGCTTAGATGTAAAGTTTCTTCCGGTCTGGATTAGTTTTGTTAAATAATTGCCCGTGTGATTCTTGTTTTTATTCCCCACTGCAGCCAATGCGCACTAGACCGGGAATTCCGCACCAGCGCGCAGTGAACGCTAGCCTCTACTGCCGGGGTCGGCACGTCGTCTAGGAATGTCATCTAAGTCTGGGTCCAACTAATCAAGGGCGGCATGTCTGATCCTCATTTTATCACCATTGAGGACGCTAGCGATGAGCAGCCACAGGTAATAACTCGCCTAGCTTACACGTACTTTGTAAGTGTAAGTGTGAATGGTTAGAAGTAAGGCGAGAAGCATTTTAAGTAACGACTTAAAGGTAAGGACGTGGGACGGTGTGGTCGAATGGTAGATCGTTAGACTGCTAACCCGAAAGTCTCGCGTTTGAAGATTGGGCTTGAGTCCGTATCACGTCCCTGAGTCCACCCAGCTCTAATGGGTACCTGACTTAGGAAGAGTAAAGGCGGCTGGGAATAGTGCTGACCACACTATCCCTTCATTCGCCGAGTCACTGAAACACATGAACTCTACTTCACTTGCCCCGTGGACCATCAGGTTCGAGAGAATTTTTTAAAGATAAGGTAAGAAATATATTTAAGTTTCCAGGAGTAAGGTGAGACATTATGTAAGTACTCAACTAGGTCACACGTTATGTAAGAACTCAACTAGGTCACATGATATGTAAGTACACAACTAGGTCACACGTTATGTAAGTACTCAACTAGGTCACACATTGTGTAAGTACTCAACTAGGTCACACATTATGTAAGTACTCAACTAGGTCACACATTATGTAAGAACTCAACTAGGTCACACATTATGTAAGAACTCAACTAGGTCACATGTTATGTAAGAACTCAACTAGGTCACATGTTATGTAAGTACTCAACTAGGTCACACATTATGTAAGTACTCAACTAGGTCACACATTATGTAAGTACTCAACTAGGTCACACATTATGTAAGTATTTATCTAGATCACACGTTATGTAAGTACTCAACTAGGTCACACATTATGTAAGAACTCAACTAGGTCACACATTATGTAAGTACTCAACTAGGTCACACATTATGTAAGTACTCAACTAGGTCACACATTATGTAAGAACTCAACTAGGTCACACATTATGTAAGTACTCAACTAGGTCACACATTATGTAAGTACTCACCTAGGTCACACATTATGTAAGTACTCAACTATGTCACACATTATGTAAGTATTTATCTAGATCACACGTTATGTAAGTACTCAACTAGGTCACACATTATGTAAGAACTCAACTAGGTCACATGTTATGTAAGAACTCAACTAGGTCACACATTATGTAAGTACTCAACTAGGTCACACATTATGTAAGAACTCAACTAGGTCACATGTTATGTAAGAACTCAACTAGGTCACATGTTATGTAAGTACTCAACTAGATCACACATTATGTAAGTGCTAATGTTACTAACAAGGTCGTTGGAACTAATTATGAATTCAGGTCTACTAATTTAAATAAAGCGGGAGTGATATCCCCTAAAATTTCTTGTATATTCTTATATAACACTACGCGGGACGGCAGCTCATGATATAGATCTAGACAATATTTTTAATCCATTTTTAAATAGGTAAACTTTTTCAAATAGAATAGAATCTCGATTAAATAAAGAATTTCGCACCAAGTGAACAGCAAACATTGCGCGTATAATAGTGCGAAACATTGGTACTTTATAAATTCATATACGTTTTTTTTTAGAAATCGGAAATAGCGATTCCGGACTTCGGAAATTACTAACAATTTGACGGAAAACAGAGAATAAAATTGCATGTTAAATTTCATTTATCAGAAACAGTTTTCAAGTTATAGGCTTTTGAAAACCCGAAAATAGAATAATCGCTGAAAAGTTGATACAGAACTACAAATTTGATATAATACTTATGTATGAAATTTCATCAGCCTAGCTGTAACGGTACTCAAGTTATCGTGTTCACAGATACACACACACACAAAGACATACAGACATAATTGCTAATCCCAGTTTTTCCGACTCGATTACGCGTAAAATGCCGAAAATTTGACAAATCTGGATCTAGAATGCTTGCCTATATTCCGTATATGATGGACTGAGGTGTAAAACGGTGAAAAGTGTTAAAATTTCAAGTGATATTTTTGAGCACGATTGCAATACTTCCTCTATTCTTTGTAAACGAGAAAGTAAAAAAGATATGTTACATCATTCTATTAAAAAATATTGTGTCTAATTAACTAATTTAAAAACAATTAAAAAATATTTTGACTAACAGATAACTGGGGAGAACAATGGCCAAGAGCATGCATATGTAAGTACTTTAATGACCGTAATTAATTAGGTGACACTTATTAAGTAAGTACACGATGGTTAAGACACGTTGTTTACGTTTTAATGATATTAATTGATTAGGTGACAGTAGTTATGAAAGTACTTATGACATCACTAGGCTAGGTGTCAATAATTATGTAATAACAAATGAAGCAATAGATAAGATGAAATAGATTGTGCCAATCTTGAGATATATTTATGTGGATTACCGTGTTGACTACTGTGTACATATAACATATTCATTCATTCTGTCTGTTGTTGTTGTTTTTATTTAATTTTTTTATAATACATCCTCAGCTCACTGGTACATATAACATATTCATTCATTCTGTCTGTTGTTGTTTTTATTTAATTTTTTTATAATACATTCTCAGCTCGCTGGTACATATAACATATTCATTCATTCTGTCTGTTGTTGTTGTTGTTTTTATTTAATTATTTTATAATACATCCTCAGCTCGCTGGTGCATATAACATATTCATTCATTCTGTCTGTTGTTGTTGTTGTTTTTATTTAATTTTTTTATAATACATCCTCAGCTCACTGGTACATATAACATATTCATTCATTCTGTCTGTTGTTGTTTTTATTTAATTTTTTTATAATACATCCTCAGCTCGCTGGTACATATAACATATTCATTCATTCTGTCTGTTGTTGTTGTTTTTATTTAATTATTTTATAATACATCCTCAGCTCACTGGTACATATAACATATTCATTCATTCTGTCTGTTGTTGTTGTTTTTATTTAATTTTTTTATAATACATCCTCAGCTCGCTGTTACATATAACAAATTCATTCATTCTGTCTGTTGTTGTTGTTTTTATTTAATTTTTTTATAATACATCCTCAGCTCGCTGGTACATATAACATATTCATTCATTCTGTCTGTTGTTGTTGTTTTTATTTAATTATTTTATAATACATCCTCAGCTCACTGGTACATATAACATATTCATTCATTCTGTCTGTTGTTGTTGTTTTTATTTAATTTTTTTATAATACATCCTCAGCTCGCTGTTACATATAACATATTCATTCATTCTGTCTGTTGTTGTTGTTTTTATTTAATTTTTTTATAATACATCCTCAGCTGGCTGGTACATATAACATATTCATTCATTCTGTCTGTTGTTGTTGTTGTTGTTGTTGTTGTTGTTGTTGTTGTTGTTGTTGTTGTTGTTGTTGTTGTTGTTTTTATTTAATTTTTTTATAATACATCCTCAGCTCGCTGGTACATATAACATATTCATTCATTCTGTCTGTTGTTGTTGTTTTTATTTAATTTTTTTATAATACATCCTCAGCTCGCTGTTACATATAACATATTCATTCATTCTGTCTGTTGTTGTTGTTTTTATTTAATTTTTTTATAATACATCCTCAGCTCGCTGGTACATATAACATATTCATTCATTCTGTCTGTTGTTGTTGTTTTTATTTAATTTTTTTATAATACATCCTCAGCTCGCTGGTACATATAACATATTCATTCATTCTGTCTGTTGTTGTTGTTTTTATTTAATTTTTTTATAATACATCCTCAGCTCGCTGGTACATATAACATATTCATTCATTCTGTCTGTTGTTGTTGTTGTTGTTGTTGTTGTTGTTGTTGTTGTTGTTGTTTTTATTTAAATTTTTTATAATACATTCTCAGCTCGCTGACTCGGAGAACATCGACGGTGAACAGCCATATGTAAGTTGTTGGCTAGGTGGTTAGGTGGTTAGGTGGTTGGGTGGTTGGGTGGTTGGGTGGTTGGGTGGTTGGGTGGTTAGTTGTTTAGGTGGTTAGGTGGTTTGGATGGTTAGTTGTTTAGGTGCTTGGGTGGTTGGGTGGTTAGTTGTTTAGGTGGTTGGGTGGTTGAGTGGTTGGGTGGTTGGGTGGTTGGGTGGCTAGGTGGTTGAGTGGTTGGGTGGTTAGGTGGTTGGGTGGTTGGGTGGTTAGGTGGTTGGGTGGTTGGGTGGCTAGGTGGTTGGGTGGTTGGGTGGTTGGTTGGTTGGGTGGTTGGGTGGTTAGGTGGTTGGTTGGTTGGGTGGTTGGGTGAAATAGAATTCTAGAAACCAGTAATAAGGAATCTGCTCATTAATTCAAGTAATTTACTGACAAGCTAATGTGTATGAGCTTGTTGATTAAATTTATATTCAGCTATTTTAGATGTGTATTTATTTATGCTTTATGTACACATTGGCTCTAAACTTGCGTACAATGCATGCAAGTAGTCTGTACAGTCTATTTGTGTACACATTGACTCTAAACTTGCGTACAATGCATGCAAGTAGTCTGTACAGTCTATTTGTGTACACATTGACTCTAAACTTGCGTACAATGCATGCAAGTAGTCTGTACAGTCTATTTGTGTACACGATGACTCTATACTTGCGTACACTGCATGCAAGTAGCTGTACAGCCTATTTGTGTACACCAGGTGAAACAGATCTGCTATGACGAGTACCTGAAGAAAACTGTGGGTACCTACCTGAGTGAGATTCTCAAGGACCTCATCCAAGTCATGCCACGTGATCCCATCCACTACATAGCTGAGCACCTCTACAAGTAAGTGGGGGGACGGGCGGATTGTGGGGAAGGGGGGAGGGGTGGACAGTGGGGGGAGGGGGAGGGGTGGACTGTGGGGGGAGGGGTAGACTGTGGGGGGATGGGGGAGGGGTGGACTGTGGGGGGAGGGGTGGACTGTGGAGGGAGGGGCTGGACTGTGGGGTGTAACGTTAACCTATCTATCAGCCAAATAGAAGGAGAACGTCCCCGGATTCTTTTTTCGGGGTCATATGCAAATGCCTTACGGCCTAAGTGGATGAACACTTAACACAACGACCACTAGGGCTCGAATTTAATGTCTAGGGAAGCTAGTGATACTATTGTAATTAACACTCATCCAATCTACATACGACCTTTTAATCAGCGAACTCAGTTGTGGCAGAACACAAAGATGAACTAGATAAAATATTTAATGTATAAAATATCAAAAACCCAACTTACACAATGTAGGAAAAAACACTATCACAGATTTCTACACTGTCTAAGGAACAGCTACAGGCCACACAACACTGCTGTAGCTTCAAGACTTACTTAGCGACAAGTAATATTAAACTAGAAGACTAAATCAACTGAAGAAAGCAAGGCACACACAGGTCTTAAGTACTCTCACGTTCAAATGGTCAGAGTCTATAGCCGGACAATATGGACGGCTGTCTGATCAAGGTAAAACTGCCTCGTAGACTGCCAGGTCAAGATAAACTGCCTCGTGTTGCGAGTGTGCGGGGCAATTAAAGACTTCTGTGACAGGGGAGGTTATCCTCAACTCATGTCGCCATTGGTTGGGATAATCATCTGATCAGAATCATTCAATCAGATTTTAATGGAAATTTTCTATGTCTCAAACACCTTAATAGTCAATGGAAAAACCCCAGGTGTTACACAATCATTCCATATAAGGAATTATACAATGTCAAAATAAAAAAGACTCGACCTAAGTAGGTCACATCCCCTCCCTTTTTGGAAGTGACAGATAGGTTCCACAAAAACATACATAAGGGACCAATCTGGCAATGAAATAACAAAAATGTTTTACAAATGTAGGCAATCAAAATCATAATACCAGATGAAAATATCCCTGAACATAGAAGGGAAGTAACTCCAACTTTTACAATTGGTGAAAGGGGAGTAACCCTTCAAAAAGTAATTATACATCAAAATTCCTCAAGAAAGGGTATTACAATTTTTCCATGAGAATATTAAAAGTGGTAAACCCGCCAGGGTAAGACCTTTATTTCAATGACTAGCTACAATATCAATCGAGTCATATGAGACATATTATTATAAAAGATTACATTTAATCAAAAACCACCTTTAATTAAGGTTCACCTGAAAATAAACAAAATATTCAACAGGATTGGAATTTTGAAAAAAATTCAAAACTCACACCACTCATTTTCATATGAGTGACACTCAAACAAAACCTGTTTATGGTCCTAATGAACCACAAAGCATGTCACATGATCAATGTGTGTAACAAGATTTTACATCCTTGACAAACAATCAGCCACAACATTATCACTACCCTTAATGTGTGAAATTTCCAGATTAAAATTTTGGAAATATAAGCACCATCTCAATATTCTTTGATTTGTCTGTCCTAACTTAGAGGTAAATTTCAGGGGATCATGGTCAGAAAACACTCTGACTGGATTGGTTGAAGAAGAGACATAGACTTCAAAATGTTGTAATGATAAAACCAAAGCTAAAGCTTCTTTTTCAATAGTAGAATAATTCTTTTGGTTCTCATTTAACTTCCTGGAAAAAAAAGCAATGGGATGGTCAATTCCCATGTTGTCTTCTTGAAATAGGACAGAGCCAATGGCTAAGTTGCTAGCATCAATGGCAAGTTTAAAGGGCTTGCTAAAATTTGGTGCAGCCATAACAGGAGCATTTGATAAAAATGACTTAATGGTTAAAAAAGCTTCTTGACATTTATTGGACCATTCAAACTCAACACCCTTTTTCAATAATGCAGTAAGAGGTTCAGCAATAGCTGAAAAGTTTTGACAGAACCGCCTATAGTAACCAGCCATCCCAAGGAACTTTTTGATCTCTTTACAATTTTTGGGAGGTGGCAACTTTACAATAGCATCTACTTTAGCTTCAATGGGCCGAACTTGGTTCGTTCCCACTTGATAACCCAAATAGGTAATTGAAGCTTTACAGAAATCACTTTTATGTAAGTTTACAGTAAAATTAACTTCAGACAATTTTCTAAAAAGGTTAGTCAATTGAACAATATGTTCTTCAAAAGTATTAGAAAATACAACTATATCATCTATGTAGGCCTCACATTGGTCTATGTCAGCAATGACAGAGTTAATGACTCTCTGGAAAGTTTGACCAGCATTTCGCATACCAAAGGGCATACGTTTGTATCTATAAAAACCATTAGGGGTTACAAAAGCAGATATTTCTTTTGCACGGTCAGATAAGGGGATTTGCCAGTATCCTGAAAGTAAATCAATTTTGGAAATTATCTTAGCTTGACCAACTTTATCAATAACGTCTTCTATCCGAGGTAATGGATAGGAATCAGCTTTGGTGAGCGCATTCACCTTCCTAAAGTCGGTCACAAACCTGAAAGATCCACCGTCTTTCGGTACTAGGAGACATGGGGAACTCCAGTTGCTGAAACTGGGCTCATGGTATCATTCTTGAGCATATAATCAATTTCATCTTTTATCAAAGCAGCTTTTTCCGGGTTAACTCTATAGGGGTGTTGTTTAATGGGTTTTGCGTCACCAACGTCTACATCATGAGGTGGTACTTTCGCTTCTTTGGGGACATCCCCAAAAATAGAGGGAAATGTCTCAAACAACTGAGACAACCTATGGCTTTCCTCTGTGGACAAATGCATAAGGTGGACATTCAAATTATCTAAAAAGGAAGAATTTACCAATTTTGGGGGTTTCAATTTATCATGTATCACATCATCAGAAACATTTGAACATACAGGTAAAGTAATTTTATCTGTGGATTGAAAATTGTTACAATTATCATAATACTTTTTCAGTGAGTTGACATGATACACTGTCTGTTTCTTTCTTCTGTCGGGCGTATTGACAACATAGTTCAAATCACTTAATTTTGAATGCACAGTAAAGGGTCCACAATATCTCAAGGATAACGCATTGTTCAGATTAGGCACTAGCACAAGAACTTTGTCGCCTGGATTGAATGTTCGTTTACAAGAACTCTTATCATACAGTCCTTTCATTCTCACTTGGGCCTTTCTTAAGTTCTTGTGAGCCATTTCGCACACGGCTTTCAGTCGAACGTGAAAATCGTCGAAGTTTTCCACTGGATGATCACTGGTACCTGTCCAACGTTCGTGTATCAGCTTCAGGGGGCCACGGACAGAATGTCTAAACACAAGTTGAAAAGGCGAGTAGCCTAAAGAGTCCTGGACACAGTCCCTCGCGGCGAAAATAATCCAAGGAACAGACTCATCCCATTGGGTGTTACTATTAGCGAATGTCCTTAGCATGGTTTTGAGGGTTTGGTGGAACCTCTCAAGTACGCCTTGAGACTGAGGGTGGTAGGCTGAGCTGGTGATGTGGGTAACGCCTAGCTTGGCTAGCGCTTCCTGAAAATGGTGACTGGTGAAGTTGCTGCCTTGATCTGTTTGCACGATTCTAGGTAATCCAAAGGTAGTGAAGAACCGGGTCATGGCTCTGACTACAGTCTTTGCCTTAATGTTCCGTAAGGGAATCGCCTCGGGAAAACGGGTACTTGAACACATAAAGGTAAGTAGGTACTCGTTGCCCGCCTTGGTTTTAGGCAAGGGACCTACACAGTCCATGACGATTTTAGAAAAAGGTTCTTCTAATACAGGAATCGGACTCAAAGGGGCCTTAGGAATTGTCTGGTTTGGCTTTCCGGCCAACTGACAGTTCGTGCAACTTCTGCAGTAACGCGACACATCTTTTCTCATTTTGGGCCAAAAGAACAGTTCTTTGATCTTCGCCGTCGTTTTAGAGACTCCTGGGTGCGCTGACATTGGATGGTCATGTGCCAGCTTAAGTATTTCATGCCGATAAGGTGGAGGGACCCACAGCTGGTTTTTACCCAACCATGGTTCGGCTGGTGAGGCAATCACTGGTATAGCGCGACGAAAGAAGAGGCCGTTCTCGGAGAAATATTCTCCATCGTCAGATGATAGAGATTTTTCGACCGTTGCTTTGAGTTCCGCGTCGACTTGTTGAGCTTTAATGATGTCTTCCTGAGATATCCTCAGGGGTAAGCCCAGGCTTGTGTTCTCTGGAAGCATAGACTCCAGTTTGAGAGTCGAATTTCTTGACGATGATGGCGGGTGTGGTTCAGACGTGATGTCAGCCAATTGTTTGGTCTGGCTTCTTGTCACCGCACATGCAGGATACAGTTCATAATCATTATCTGGAACTGTTGACGAAGGGTCTGAAACCGTACAGGGGTATACTTTGCTTCCCGCAAGGTCATTCCCTAGAAGTAGGTGTACTCCTGGGACAGGAATACTATCTATCACACCTAAAATGACCTCACCTTCGACGAGATGATGTTTCAGGGCAAACTTGTGTAGAGGGACGACAGTAGATTTTGTCCCCACTCCCTGGATAATGGAAATCCTTCCGGTGTTCGTCTCAGGTGTAATGTCCATTGAACTTTTCAAAAGGAGTGATTGTGACGCTCCTGTGTCTCTTAGAACGGTGATATTCTTCTGAGACAACGGATCACCTGGTTTGCTAATGATGGCTTCGGCAATAAAAGATGAAAAGTCAACTTTTCTCGATCCCTCGAGATCGGTAGACTCGGAAGAAACTGGATGGTGGCGAGAACAGTCAAAATGTGACTGCACATAATGTGTGGAGACTTGACTACCTTCTTGCGGACACTTAGGGTTAGAGTCCTTTTGAATTCTAGAGTTCATAGTTGAACTGGCTGCTTGAGGGGATAGAGCATAGTGCGCAGAAGTACGCACCACCTCCCTGTTATTCTGAAGACGTTTGTAACAGTCCTTGACATGGTGACCAGGCCTTTTGCAGAACTGGCATACCGCTCGACGATTGAGAGTTGATCTTGGTTTCTCTCTGGACTGTGATGCCTTCAAATGTTGGCCAACAGGATGATTGCTGCCAAAAAGGGGAAGCACGGGGTTGAGGCGGTTTCCTGACACTGGTGGTTTCCTATGCACCAACATATATGTGTCAGCCGACTCAGCAGCCTTCTGGATGTCAGTTATCTTGTTATCCAGAATGTGTAGTCGTATCTCTTCAGGCAGGGACGATAGGAATTCTTCCCTTAGGATAAGTGACCTCAGTTTCTCAAACTCAGAAACTTCCTCCGAGTGTAGCCACCTTGAAAATATTTTCTCCTTTTCAAAGAGAAATTCCACATATGATTGTGTGGGTAACTTGCGGAGTGTACGGAATTTTGTCCGATAGGCCTCGGGCGTCAGTGCGTAGGCCTTTAAAATGGCAGTCTTGACCAAACTATAGTTATTTTGAACGTCGTGAGAGAGTGCCTGGTATGTTTTTGCAGCTTTCCCAGTAAGGACAGAGCTCAATAAAGCAGTAATGGAAGATTCGGGCCATTCACATGTCTTCGCTAAACTCTCAAACGAGTTAAAGAAAACGACCAAATCTGTTTCATCAAATTTAGGAACTAATTTCCCAAATTTGGCAATCACTTGCCCTACCGACAACTTTTTTGGATCTACCAGAGAAGTGACATCACTAACTTTACCCAATTCTGATTCCAACCTCCTCCTATCTAAAGCAATTTTAACTTCCAACTCCTGTTCTTTTAATGCCTTCTCTAAAGCAACTTTCTCCTCGCGGAGTAACACACCAGCCAACAAACTTTCATCAAATACCCCTTCATTAATGAAATGAACAACAATTTTATCTCTCAACACCTCTGACTTCTGCGTAACAGAATAATCCAATTTCAATTCCTTAACAACACTAACCAAAACTTTTCTACTCAACTTTTCTACATCTTCAACAGTAGGATTAGCCAAAAAAGACTCCATAACACTAACTTTCAAATCACAACAAGCCTAGATCCTTTAAATTAATACACAGCGTTGGGCCGTGTACTTGACCTCTAAATGTAGGACGTGACACGTCTGCTTATTTGACCTAGATACTCTAGCCTGAGCGCGCGTTGTAAGACCACGGCGCTACACTGGATATAAAAACAACTAAATCCAACTAACCTTAGTATTCAACTGATATAAACAACAACTGGAACGACAGATTAAATCCCGGACGAGCCCCCACTTTGTAACGTTAACCTATCTATCAGCCAAATAGAAGGAGAACGTCCCCGGATTCTTTTTTCGGGGTCATATGCAAATGCCTTACGGCCTAAGTGGATGAACACTTAACACAACGACCACTAGGGCTCGAATTTAATGTCTAGGGAAGCTAGTGATACTATTGTAATTAACACTCATCCAATCTACATACGACCTTTTAATCAGCGAACTCAGTTGTGGCAGAACACAAAGATGAACTAGATAAAATATTTAATGTATAAAATATCAAAAACCCAACTTACACAATGTAGGAAAAAACACTATCACAGATTTCTACACTGTCTAAGGAACAGCTACAGGCCACACAACACTGCTGTAGCTTCAAGACTTACTTAGCGACAAGTAATATTAAACTAGAAGACTAAATCAACTGAAGAAAGCAAGGCACACACAGGTCTTAAGTACTCTCACGTTCAAATGGTCAGAGTCTATAGCCGGACAATATGGACGGCTGTCTGATCAAGGTAAAACTGCCTCGTAGACTGCCAGGTCAAGATAAACTGCCTCGTGTTGCGAGTGTGCGGGGCAATTAAAGACTTCTGTGACAGGGGAGGTTATCCTCAACTCATGTCGCCATTGGTTGGGATAATCATCTGATCAGAATCATTCAATCAGATTTTAATGGAAATTTTCTATGTCTCAAACACCTTAATAGTCAATGGAAAAACCCCAGGTGTTACACAATCATTCCATATAAGGAATTATACAATGTCAAAATAAAAAAGACTCGACCTAAGTAGGTCACAGGGGGAGGGGTGGACTGTGGGGGGAGGGATAGACTGGGGGGAGGGGTGGACTGGGGGGAGGAGGGAGGGTTGGATTGTGGGGGGAGGGGGGAGGGGTGGAATGTGGGGGGGGGGAGAGGTGGACTGATGGGGGAGGGGTGGACTGTGGGGGGAGGGGTGGAAAGTGGGGGAGGGGTGGACTGTGGGGGGAGGGGTGGACTGTGGAGAGATGGGGGAGGGGTGGACTGTGGGGAAGGGGGGAGGGGTGGACAGTGGGGGGAGGGGGAGGGGTGGACTGTGGGGGGAGGGGTAGACTGTGGGGGGATGGGGGAGGGGTGGACTGTGGGGGGAGGGGTGGACTGTGGAGGGAGGGTTGGATTGTGGGGAGAGGGGGGAAGGGTGGAATGTGGGGGGGGGGAGAGGTGGACTGATGGGGGAGGGGTGGACTGTGGGGGGAGGGGTGGAAAGTGGGGGAGGGGTGGACTGTGGGGGGAGGGGTGGACTGTGGAGAGATGGGGGAGGGGTGGACTGTGGGGAAGGGGGGGAGGGGTGGACAGTGGGGGGAGGGGGAGGGGTGGACTGTGGGGGGAGGGGTAGACTGTGGGGGGATGGGGGAGGGGTGGACTGTGGGGGGAGGGGTGGACTGTGGAGGGAGGGGCTGGACTGTGGGGGAGGGGTGGACTGTGGGGGGAGGGGTAGACTGGGGGGAGGGGTGGACTGGGGGGAGGGGGCAGGGTTGGATTGTGGGGGGAGGGGGGAGGGGTGGAATGTGGGGGGGGGGAGAGGTGGACTGATGGGGGAGGGGTGGACTGTGGGGGAGGGGTGGAAAGTGGGGGAGGGGTGGACTTTAGGGGGAGGGGTGGACTGTGGGGGGAGGGGTGGACTGTGGAGAGATGGGGGAGGGGTGGACTGAGGTGGAGGCGGGAGGGGTGGGCTGTGTGGGGAGGGGTGGACTGTGGGGGTGGACTGGGGGGGGGGGTTCATAACTCAGCACCTTTACAAGTAAGGGTTGGACTGTGGGGAAGGGGACTTTACCATTTTTACTTTTTCGGGTATTTGCGGAGGACTGCCCTTTTTAAGGGTTTGGGGGTGGACTTTGAATTTAGGGCCTACCACCCCAGACAACGCCTACCACCCCAGACAACGCCTGCAACCCCTTACATTAAAACCATTCAATAACTATCCGCACGTGTAGGTGTATAGACAACGACAGCCCTTAAACCATTCAGTAACTATCCGCACATGTAGGTGTGTCGACAACGACCTGTACCGGAGCGAGAAGACCAAGTTCCTGCTGGACCTCGAGAAGGCCAAGAGAGCTCTAGACGAGGAGAACAAAGCCAGGAAGCTGCGGCTCCACGCTCTGCTTGAGAACATCAGGAACACAAAGGTAGGACTGGTAGAGAAACATAGGCTGGCAGGGAAACATAGGCTGGCAGGGAAACATAGGCTGGCAGGGAAACATAGGCTGGCAGGGAAACATACAGGTAGGGCTGGCAGGGTAACATACAGGTAGGGCTGGCAGGGAAACATAGGCTGGCAGGGAAACATACAGGTAGGGCTGGCAGGGAAACATACAGGTAGGGCTGGCAGGGAAACATAGGCTAGCAGGGAAACATACAGGTAGGGCTGGCAGGGAAACATACAGGTAGGGCTGGCAGGGAAACATAGGCTGGCAGGGAAACATACAGGTAGGGCTGGCAGGGAAACATAGGCTGGCAGGGAAACATAGGCTGGCAGGGAAACATACAGGTAGGGCTGGCAGGGAAACATAGGCTGGCAGGGAAACATACAGGTAGGACTGGCAGGGAAACATAGGCTGGCAGGGAAACATAGGCTGGCAGGGAAACATAGGCTGGCAGGGAAACATACAGGTAGGACTGGCAGGGAAACATACAGGTAGGACTGGCAGGGAAACATAGGCTGGCAGGGAAACATAGGCTGGCAGGGAAACATAGGCTGGCAGGGAAACATAGGCTGGCAGGGAAACATAGGCTGGCAGGGAAACATACAGGTAGGACTGGCAGGGAAACATGGGCTGGCAGGGAAACATAGGCTGGCAGGGAAACATAGGCTGGCAGGGAAACATACATGTAGGGCTGGCAGGGAAACATACAGGTAGGGCTGGCAGGGAAACATACAGGTAGGGCTGGCAGGGAAACATAGGCTGGCAGGGTTGAGTTTAAACGGGGGTCTAGCCTAGGTCCATATTGAAATGTGCGTGTCTAATGTCCATATTGAAATGTCCGTGTCTAATGTCGATATTGAAATGTCCGTGTCTATTGTCCATATTGAAATGTCCGTGTCTAATGTCCATATTGAAATGTCCGTGTCTAATGTCCATATTGAAATGTGCGTGTCAAATGTCCATATTGAAATGTCCGTGTCTAATGTCCATATTGAAATGTCCGTGTCTAATGTCCATATTGAAATGTCCGTGTGTAATGTCCATATTGAAATGTGCGTGTCTAATGTCCATATTGAAATGTGCGTGTCTAATGTCCATATTGAAATGTCCGTGTCTAATGTCCATATTGAAATGTGCGTGTCAAATGTCCATATTGAAATGTCCGTGTCTAATGTCCATATTGAAATGTCCGTGTCTAATGTCCATATTGAAATGTGCGTGTCAAATGTCCATATTGAAATGTCCGTGTCTAATGTCCATATTGAAATGTCCGTGTCTAATGTCCATATTGAAATGTCCGTGTGTAATGTCCATATTGAAATGTGCGTGTCTAATGTCCATATTGAAATGTGCGTGTCTAATGTCCATATTGAAATGTCCGTGTCAAATGTCCATATTGAAATGTCCGTGTCTAATGTCCATATTGAAATGTCCAACCTGTGACCTCCCCAGAGAACCAGCGACCAATTGTTCCAGCAGGAGTTTGAGGAAATCATGAAACTCCTCCTGTCTGGTCAGCCCATTGATGATGAGACGTTACGGCGTCTGATGGCTTTAGGGGTAGGGCAGTAGGTCGTGTAGGACAGGGGGACAATAGGTCGTGTAGGACAGTAGGTTGTGTAGGACAGGACAGTAGGTTCTGTAGGACAGGGGGACAATAAGTTGTGTAGGACAGGGGGACAGTAGGTCGTGTAGGACAGTAGGTTGTGCAGGACAGGACAGTAGGTTCTGTAGGACAGGGGGACAATAAGTTGTGTAGGACAGGACAATTGGTCGTGTAGGGCAGGACAATAGGTTGTGTAGGACAGGACAATAGGTTGTGTAGGACATGACAGTAGGTTGTGTAGGACAGGACAGTAGGTTGTGTAGGACAGGACAATAGGTTGTGTAGGACAGGACAATAGGTTGTGTAGGACAGTAGGTTGTGTAGGACAATTGGTTGTGTAGGACAGGACAATAGGTTGTGTAGGACATGACAGTAGGTTGTGTAGGACAGGACAGTAGGTTGTGTAGGACAGGACAATAGGTTGTGTAGTACAGGACAATAGGTTGTGTAGGACAGTAGGTTGTGTAGGACAATTGGTTGTGTAGGACAGTAGGTCGTGTAGGACAGGACAGTAGGTTGTGTAGGACAGTAGGTCGTGTAGAACAGGACAGTAGGTTGTGTAGGACAGGATAGTAGGTTGTGTAGGACAGTAGGTTGTGTAGGACAGTAGGTTGTGTAGGACAGGACAGTAGGTTGTGTAGGACAGTAGGTTGTGTAGGACAGTAGGTTGTGTAGGACAGGACAGTAGGTTGTGTAGGACAGGACAGTAGGTTGTGTAGGACAAGGGGCCATTATATTTTTGGTCTATGATAAGTTTAATGAAGTTTTATTGAGGTAGGTTCTTTAGCTGTATGAAAATTTCAGTTAATTACTTTGGTCGATTCTTGGCACAATTTACACTTGGCCACCTTTTGCCATTTCTTACAATTGGCCATCGTTTACATTTGGCCCACCTGTTCCAGGCCATGTTTGGTGTTGACTCGATAGATGAGATCATGGAACTCGGCAAGTCCAAGTCTAAGACGGAGAGGTGGGCGGGACAGTTCTTCAACAAGATGCTGGAGGCACAGAAAGGAAAGCACTTCAGGCTGAGTGATGATACGTTGTCTGATGCTGGCTACTTTGCGAGCCTGATGGCCCCGAGTAGGTCAAGTTAGTGGTTGGTGTTTAATGTTGGTTGGAAGGTGAATTGTTGTTGGTTGGTGTTTAATGTTGGTTGGAAGGTGTATTGTTGTTGGTTGGTGTTTAATGTTGGTTGGAAGGTGTTTTGTTGTTGGTTGGTGTTTGTTGGTGGTGGTCACGTTGTTACAGGTGTATCATCGGCTGGCACACAGTATAGAGATGTCATATGTCAATTCAATAATTACTGCTGATAATTTATGTAATGATATGTCATATGTCTAACAACACGTCTCAGATGAGAGCAGATGTTATGTGACATGTGTACTCACTTATGACATGTGTACTCACTTATGACATGTGTACTCACTTATGACATGTGTACTCACTTGTGACACGTGTACTCACGTGTGACATGTGTACTTACGTGTGACATACTTGTACACCAGAAATCGCTGAACTGAGAGACGCAGACGGTAATGTCATTGACCAATCAGCTCTGGCCGCTATGGGTGTGTACAAGGACGAGAACGGCGTGTACAGAGACAAGGCCGGCAACATCCTGACCAGCGAGGACCTCCAGAACGCCGGGCTGGTGGTCATAGAGGAGCCCAAGTCCATCTTCAAGGGGAACTTTGACCGTGCCTATGTGGGCGGGGCTGCGGTGGGTGGCGGCAAGTACCACGCCGAGCGGGGCGCCATAGCAGACAGCATCAAGGAGGGCACCTTCGGCCTGACCAAGCACGGGCTGCTGACCTTCACCTCTGACGGGCTGGGGCTCATCCTGCCCAAGTTCTCAAACAACATGTACGACTTCCTTGTGGGTGAGTAGACACACCTTTACAGGTCAATAGAAACACATCAAGTGGGGGGGGGGAGGGAGGCTGAGACACCATTTGTCTTTGGTTGATACACCTTGTGGTGTAGGTTAAAACACCTTTTAGTGTAGGTTAAGACATCTTTTGGTGTAGGTTACCACTCTACAACAGGATGGTCTAGGGGGGGGGGGGGGGGAGAGGACAAGATGTTTTAATTATAAAACATACAAACGCATTAAGACGTATCGAGTTTTTAGTTTCATTTTTTAGAAGTGGGGACCATATTTAAATGTAGGACAGAATATTTATGAGAAGAAAAAGAAAACTATGAAAAAAACCACTACCAGATTTGAATTGCGGCATTGAAGATTTTTTAAAAACCTGCCACACCAAATGTAAGCTCGTGAAAACAACTTGAGAAAATACATGAAGACGTTTACAAGATTGACGTCAATATTTGTGACACGTTTTGACACGTCTCTGGTAATGGAGGAAAATGGCAAGTTTTCTTATCAGCAGTAGCTGTGAAATCATGTGACAAGTAGACAATCATCCCTGCCATTAAATGGCCATGTCTAGACAATCATCCCTGCCATTAAATGGCCATGTCTAGACAATCATCCCTGCCATTAAATGGCCATGTCTAGACAATCATCCCTGCCATTAAATGGCCATGTCTAGACAATCATCCCTGCCATTAAATGGCCATGTCTAGACAATCATCCCTGCCATTAAATGGCCATGTCTAGACAATCATCCCTGCCATTAAATGGCCATGTCTAGACAATCATCCCTGCCATTAAATGGCCACCTTGCAGGCCCCCAGGGGTCGGGCTATATTGGCTGGACTATTGAGACTAGGGTCAAGCTTACAGGAAAAATTCCCGGACTTTAAAAAAAAAGTTTTGATTGCCAGAAAAGGTTTCAGGTGGACCATCCTTTTTTTAGACCAACTGACCAATGGAAGACTGAAGCAATGGTTTCAGTTTGACCATTCTATTTTTAGACCAACTGACCAATGGAAGATTCTATTTTTAGACCAACTGACCAAGTGGAAGACTGAAGCAATGGTTTCAGTTTGACCATTCTATTTTTAGACCAACTGACCAATGTTTAATTATTTTTTTTTGTGTGTTTAGTCCTCTTTGCTCCTTATGGAGCATAGGGCCTCCACCATTTCCTTCCATTTCTTCCTATCCTCGGCTATTAATTTTGACATCTCCCAAGACATCCTTGTTGGCTTCAGTTCTTCAAGAAGACTCCGCCTCCAGGTCTGTCTTGGGCGCCCTCTCTTCCGCTTTCCCTGGGGGTTCCACTCAAGCGCTTGGCGTGTAACATTTGTGTGAGCCTTTCGCAGTGTGTGACCCACCCAGCGCCACTTCCTCCTTCTTATTTGCACACCTATAGGCTCCTGCCTAGCTTTCCTCCATAGTTCCAAGTTCGGCACTTTGTCCTGCCATCTCAGTTTCAGTATCTGTCGAAGGCATCTATTCATGAAGGTCTGTATCTTTGCTGTGCTTGCCTTGGAGACTCTCCATGTCTCTGCTCCATACAGCAGAACAGCCTTGACATTAGAGTTAAATATCCTAATTTTTGTGGTAATGGAGATGGCCGAACTTTTCCATATGGGTCGCAGGACTGTGAAAGCGCAGCGGGCTCTATTAACTCTAGCGCGTATGTCCTCCTCTGTGCCTCCCGTTTTGCTGATCTTGCTGCCAAGGTATTTTTAGACCAACTGACCAATGGAAGATTCTATTTTTAGACCAACTGACCAATGGAAGATTCTATTTTTAGACCAACTGACCAAGTGGAAGACTGAAGCAATGGTTTCCGTTTGACCATTCTATTTTTAGACCAACTGACCAATGGAAGATTCTATTTTTAGACCAACTGACCAAGTGGAAGACTGAAGCAATGGTTTCCGTTTGACCATTCTATTTTTAGACCAACTGACCAATGGAAGATTCTATTTTTAGACCAACTGACCAATGGAAGATTCTATTTTTAGACCAACTGACCAAGTGGAAGACTGAAGCAATGGTTTCCGTTTGACCATTCTATTTTTAGACCAACTGACCAATGGAAGATTCTATTTTTAGACCAACTGACCAATGGAAGATTCTATTTTTAGACCAACTGACAATGGAAGATTCTATTTTTAGACCAACTGACCAAGTGGAAGATTCTATTTTTAGACCAACTGACCAAGTGGAAGACCAAAGCAATGGTTTCAGGTTGACCATTCTATTTATAGACCAACTGACCAATGGAAGATTCTATTTTCAGACCAACTGACAATGGAAGATTCTATTTTTAGACCAACTGACCAAGTGGAAGACCGAAGGCTTCGCCTGTGAGTCCCTGTACGACCACGAGATCTACACCATCTGCGAGCCAGACGCCGACACGGTCGACTACGGCGGGCGAGTCAGGATGAGCATCGAGGAGTTTCTAGAACCTACGTTTTACTGTGAGTTTCTAGAACCTACGTTTTACTGTAAGTTGTCTGAACCCCAGGGGTTCTGACCTACGTTTTACTGTAAGTTGTCTGAACCTACGTTTTACTGTAAGTTGTCTGAACCCTAACCCAGGGGTTCTGAACCTACGTTTTACTGTAAGTTGTCTGAACCCCAGTGGTTCTGAACCTACGTTTTACTGTAAGTTGTCTGAACCCTAATCCAGGGGTTCTGAACCTACGTTTTACTGTAAGTTGTCTGAACCCTAACCCAGGGGTTCTGAACCTTTTTGGAGGTACCGAACCCCACCAACACTGAACCCGTCTTAACAGTTCTATCGTCCGCACTGACTAAATCCGATCGTCAAATGAGGCGGGCGTGTGTATTTACCTTCACCGAACCCTTGAGAATAATTCACCAAACCCATGGGGTTCGATTGAACCCAAATTTTTTAACAACTGCCCTTATCATAACCCACGTTTTACCGACGGTGGTCTAAACCCTAATCATAACCTAAATTACTTGAAGTAGAGTTCAGCTTTCAGCTTGTGGCTAAGTTTAACTGTAATATGTGGTTAAGTTTAACTGTAATATGTGGTAAAGTTTAACTGTAATATGTAGTAAAGTTTAACTGTAATATGTGGTAAAGTTTAACTGTAATATGTGTTAAAGCTTAACTGTTATATGTGGTAAAGTTTAACTGTAATATGTGGTTAAGTTTAACTGTAATATGTGATAAAGCTTAACTATAATATGTGGTTAAGTTTAACTGTAATATGTGGTTAAGTTTAACTGTAAAATGTGGTTAAGTTTAACTGTGATTTGTGGTAAAGTTTAACTGTACTATGTGGTAAAGTTTAACTGTACTATGTGGTTACGTTTAACTGTAATATGTGGTAAAGTTTAACTGTAATAAGTGGTTACGTTTAACTGTAATATGTGGTTAAGTTTAACTGTAATATGTTGTTAAGTTTAGCTGTGGTGTGATCACGTTCACATGCAGTGTGGCTAAATTTAGCTGTGACGTAATTGAATTGAAATGTGATATAAAGAAGTTTAAATGTTATGTGGTAAAGAAAGAATGTAATGTGGTTAATTTTTAAATGTGGTTAATTTTTAAATGTGGTTAAGTTTAACTGTGGTTAAGTTAAAATATTGTTAAGTTTAAATATTGTTAAGTTTAAATTTATGTGGTTAAGTTTAAATATTATTAAGTTTAAATGTGTTTAAGTTTAAATATTGTTTAGTTTAAATGGTGTTTAAGTTTAAATGTGGTGAAGCTTAAATGTGGTTGAGTTTAGATGTGATGTGGATATGTTAAGCAAGCTGTAGCGACGTCCACAATTATTCCTTATCTACCCTGTCATTATCTACACTGTCATCAGCCAACATCATCGCTAAAAGAAGGGTGACGGATAAGAAGGGGAAGAAACAAGCAGACAAGTCTGGAACACTCGGCAGCTCAGCTGATGCCTCGGAACTGGAACTCTCCTCCCAGAAAAGTTCCCAGAAGGCGCCCCCGCCGGATATTAAGGAGGACCCTCAAGAGAAACCACAGGACTCAGATGTAGACCAACCACAGGACACAGATGTAGACCCACCAGAATAGGACACAACTCAGGACACACAATAGGACACACTATAGAACGTCACCCGATACACAATAAGATGCAATATTACATACAATATTCATACACGGCCACCCCACACGGCCACCCCACACGGCCACCCCACACGGCCACCCCACACGGCCACCCCACACGGCCACCCTACACCCCATACATAACACCCCATACATAACACCCCATACATAACACCCCATACATAACACCCCATACATAACACCCCATACATAACACCCCATACATAACACCCCATACATAACACCCCATACATAACACCCATACATAACACACTACACCCCACACCTTACACTCTACCCCCACACCTTACATCCCCCCCCACACACACCACACACACTCCACACAACTTTAGTCCTGTCCGTCGGTCGATCTTAGCACAAACACATCAACTCTGCTTCACCTGTCCTGCATCAGACATGTAGTAAGACCCCTTGATTGCTGATCACGAATCAATAACTCGGATCGAATGATCGACCCTTGACGTTGAAGTCCCATCAACAAGCTGAACATGGATGATAATCATCCAACATGAGGCATGACAGATGACAGACAGAGCTATATGCTGCACGTCATGCTAGTCAACAACACATTATTTTACACACCATTCAAATATTTTCAGCATTTAATAAACACATAAGAAAGTGCAATTTTATAGCACTTGATAAAACACACAGTGCAATTTTAGCACTTAATAAAACACATCACGAGAAAATTGCAACACAAAATTAAGCTCACCATTAATAAACTAAAAAATATTTTTTTTTTTAAATTGAAAAAAAAAACACTTTATACTTTTTAACAAAACCATTTTTTAATATAAAACTATCAAAAACAAGGTTAAAAAAACATTTTAAACAAAATAAGTGACATATGTGTCGTTTTCACACCGACACAAACACCTACACACAGACACACACACAAAGAGCGTGTAACTTGTAAACAGAGAAAAACTGTGCTATAAAATATCAACACACCGTTGAAAAGCTTAAGCACCCAAAACATAGGACTAGTACGTGTGTTATGACTAGATAAACAAATGGACAGAAAAGTTGATTGTTTGTGAATTTTTTTTTCTCTATGTGTGTATCAGTTAGAGCACATTTATACAAATGTTTCAAGCACATCTACAAAAAAAAAACAACATCAGCAACATCTACAATAACTAAACAAGAAATACGACTACACGTGTGAAAACTATGTATGACTCATTTCCGACACACATCACATCAACACACATCACACCAACACACATCACATCAACACACATCACATCAACCCACATTACACCAACACACATAACATCAACACACATCACACCAACACACATCACATCAACACACATCACATCAACACACATAACATCAACACAGATTATGTTCAAAGGAAATCACATCAGCTAGCGTATGCTAAAGATATGAGACTAAGTCATATAAAAAATATTTGTGTCCAATAAAATCACGAACAATGTCGATTTTGTTCATCTTCACTTGATGGTTAGAAATCTCCTTTGTTAATCTTCACCTGATGGTTAGATTACCTCTTTTGTGTTAGATTATCTCGTCCTAAAGTTTCTATTGCAGATGTTTGGAAAGTTCTTTTGAATTTTTTGATTTAGTTTTAAGAAAAAATTATTGTGTCTTTTAAGGTCGTGTGTATTTGCATAATACCCCACCCTACCCCATCTATACCTCGCCCTCTCCCGCTCTCGTACCACCCCCCCCCCCCCTCCCACCCTCTCACCACAGCTGAAAGAAATGAAGCATCACACTTAAAGACGCAATATCCGTCAACTATGTCCGTGCCTCGAGCTCAACATGCGTGATACGTCACGACTTTTGCCATACCACGTCATCAACACTTGCTTGCAACCCTCTCCCCCCCCCCCCCCCACAGGCGAGGGGGCACCAGGGCCCACTCTGCTAGTTTAATACGCCATTCTTTATCTTGTGTTTCTTTAAGACGCGGCACTGAGGGGAAACACGAGAAAAATTTTCCTGAAATTCCCCAAGACGGCCTCGAGGCTAGGCAAACTCGGCACCAAGTGCTTACAGAACCATCCAACGCCATCTTTTTTCTCACGGGCCGGATCATCGGCCAGAGGTAACGTCACATCCGGCTGAAATAAAGCCGGTAGTTCCGGATGCCTCATTGTTGACAAACGTCTCCAGCGCCCCCCTTCATTTTTTGCCTGGGAGCGACGCGTCCCCCGGACCAGCACGCTGTGTGCGATATTGAGAAAATATTATTAAACCTGGCCGACTCGGCCGCTCTCCAGCCTCACTCCCACCCAGGGCGCCCTCTCACTCGCCCGCCCGTCCCCCCCGGGCGTTAATTTCAGTCTCCCATCTCTCCACAAAACGGAAATGATACAAGCCTTGATAGCCGGCCACACAGCTGTGTGGGGACAGGCATGCAGGGCATCAGCAAGACAGTTGTGTGGGATCCTGGGGAAGGGTGTGTGTGTGGGATCCAAAGGGTGGAGATGTGTGGGTTGTGGGATCCTGGGGAGGTGTGTGTGTGGGATCCAAAGGGTGGAGATGTGTGTGTTGTGGGATTCTAGGGAGGTGTGTGGGATGTGGGATCCTGGGGAGGTGTGTGTGTGGGATCCAAAGGGTGGAGATGTGTGTGTTGTGGGATTCTAGGGAGGTGTGTGGGATGTGGGATCCTGGGGAGGTGTGTGGGATGTGGGATCCTGGGGAGGGAGGTGTGTGGGATCCTGGGGAGGGAGGTGTGTGGGATCCTGGGGAGGGAGGTGTGTGGGATCCTGGGGAGGTGTGTGGGATGTGGGATCCTGGGGAGGGAGGTGTGTGGGATCATGGGGAGGGAGGTGTGTGGGATCCTGGGGAGGGAGGTGTGTGGGATCCTGGGGAGGGAGGTGTGTGGGATCCTGGAGAGGGAGGTGTGTGGGATGTGGGATCCTGGGGAGGTGTGTGGGATCCTGGTGAGGGAGGTGTGTGGGATCCTGGGGAGGTAGGTGTGTGGGATCCTGCGGAGGGAATTGTGTGGGATGTAGGATCCTGGGAATGGAGGTGTGTGGGATGTGGGATCCTGGGAATGGAGGTGTGTGGGATGTGGGATCCTGGGAATGGAGGTGTGTATGATGTGGCGTAGCGTGTATAGAGTTACATGGGAAGGAAATGTATTAACATGTTGCAATTGAAAAGAAAATTAGAATGTTTGAGGTGTTATGTGTGGTAATTAAAATGAATAATGTGTAGGTATGTCGTTCTATCAGTTTATCTGTTTGTAGCAGATCTCGCTTTTCATGTTTGACACACATCTAAAGCAAACAATTCTTTCACGAATTTCAGAACATTCGCTTTAGATGATACCACAAGAATATCTGGATTGTTATTTTGTAAACAAGCTACTGATTGGGTTTTAAGCAAATATTTTAGTTGTAGGGGGGGGGGGGGGGTGTTGATATTATTAAATACAAACAGAATGGAAAAAAGTATTTTTTTTTAAATCTAGCTACTAGTTACTAGAAAATTAAACAAATTCAAAATCCTTATTGTAATGTTTCTAAATAAACCGAAAATAAGAAAAACAATTTCTTTAGTTTAAAAAAAAAACGAAAAACACAGAGGTTATTAACATGTGTAAGACACTGCTTGACCTACCGTCCATTTACTTAAGATAGATTTTTTTTATTGGCAGTGTATTTAGCTTGTTATATAAATCTTTTAGCTTGTTGTATTATGTTTTAACAAAAATAATTATGATATGGTAATAAGGAAAGCAAAAATAAAAATTTGCAATGTAAGGGAGGCTACAAGTGAAATACTGATGATTCCAGTTATAACAGAGTTACCTTTCTTGGTTAACTCCGGCAAACACAGCATAGACTAGAATAAACATGACTCCTGACTTACATAAACCTAGTGACTCCTGACTTTAATCTGGTGACTCATGACTTACATAAACTTATTGACTCATGACTTTAAAAATCTACTGATCCGTGAATTAAATCAAGTGATTTTAAACACCGACCTAGCTAGTCTAGACGCAAATCAAGCAACTCGTGATTCCGATCACCAAGCGACTCCTGTCGTTCCACTAATACATGACTCTTGACTTAAACCTAGTTACTTAAATCACGTGACTTGCAACTAAGTCAGTGACTCTAAAACTACAACAGTTGAAAGACTTTTCTATGACTTGATGGCCTACATTTTTCTAGCGCCTAGATAACCCAACTGTTGATTGGCTTGCTAATTACTGACGAGTTTACGATTAGCAGGCGTATTAACTAATTACTCTTAAGCAAGTAATTATCATGCTATAATTAAAGTTGTTAGGTAACTCTTGTCATTAACGGGTCATTAACGGTCAATTTGTTCAGCGCGTCCTCACGTGTCTGCAGTTACACAAAGAGTAAATCACAGACTTTGTGTCTTGCTCTCATAAGATCAGACTTTGTGTCTTGCTCTTATAAGATCAGACTTTGTGTCTTGCTCTCATAAGATAAGACTTTGTGTCTTGCTCTCATAAGATCAGACTTTGTATCTTGCTCTCATAAGATCAGACTTTGTGTCTTGCTCTCATAAGATAAGACTTTGTGTCTTGCTCTCATAAGATCAGACTTTGTAACTTGCTCTCATAAGATAAGACTTTGTGTCTTGCTCTCATAAGATCAGACTTTGTGTCTTGCTATCATAAGATCAGACTTTGTGTCTTGCTCTCATAAGATAAGACTTTATGTCTTGCTCTCATAAGATAAGACTTTGTGTCTTGCTCTCATAAGATCAGACTTTGTGTCTTGCTCTCATAAGATCAGACTTTGTGTCTTGCTCTCATAAGATCAGACTTTGTGTCTTGCTCTCATAAGATCAGTCTTTGTGTCTTGCTCTCATAAGATCAGACTTTGTGTCACATCATTCCCCGACCTCCTGGTGTTTGGGTTTAGAAATTACGCTAGTACTGGCTTGTGTCAACACCAACCACAACCATAACACAACCACAACCACAACACAACCACAACACAACCAAAACCACAACACAACCATAACACAACCATAACATAACCACAACACAACCACAACAAAACCACAATACAACCATAACACAAGCGCAACACAACCACAACACAACCACAACACAACCACAATACAACCACAACACAACCACAACACAACCAAAACCACAACATAACACAACTACAACACAACCATAACACAACCATAACCATAACACAACCCAGGGGCGTAGCGAGGGGGGTGCGGGGGGTGCGGACCGCACCGGGTGACACCATTTAGGGGGGTGACACCAAGGCAAAAAATAGCAAAATATATAGAGAAATATGATAATTACACTTAATAGAGTGATTAATTAGAGTGTTAAATAGCCTTTTAAGAGGTGGGGGGTGCAAATCGAAAGTTTGAGGGGGGGGGGTGCAAATCGAAAGTTTGAGGGGGGGGGGTGCAAATCGAAAATTGAAAGTTTGTCCCCGGTAAGGGTCGTTGCGTCTCTGGGGGGTGACACCATAAAGTGCCGCACCGGGTGACACCCGACCTCGCTACGCCACTGACACAACCATAACAAAACCACAACATAACAACAACACAACTATAACAAAACCATAACACAACCATAACAAAATCATAACACATTGACAATTTTGTAGGAAGTTTTTATTTTTGAGAAAGTTAGATCTAATCATAAACTAGTTTGGTGATCGCAAGAAAGATCTAATCATGAACTAGTCTTTCAGACCCAAATGTATGTATCTACTCATGCAACCTTTGTTCAGAATACCGGTTAGGTCGCGGTGTGTATGTAAACATTGGGTTGGTGTGTCCTACACACATCAGGATGCTCATCATAATCCTAACAACACACTGACTCTACTTGACCCGTCCTGGCGACAGTTGTGATCTTAGAAAACATAAACGTGTTCATTTGATGTCTAGAACCGAATAGGGCTGAGCTCTGCTCACTTCTAAATTAATAAGTCAGCAGGACGTGTAGCAACAGTACTTATACCGTTAACTAACGATAGTTTAACTGTTAATTACGTGGACTACTGGACCCAGGTACCCAGGTAGGGGCTGAGGGTGGGGTCTGGGTCTTGGTGCGGAGTGGGGGTCGATGAAACACCTCAGATGCCACAACCTACCCAGGCAGGCCTGCGGCTGTTCTCTTCACACGTCAGCTGTTGTATCAAGTCTATATCAGCTCATCTAATTAATTTAATTAATTATAGTCATTTTTTTAGCTGCTGAGTCAATCACAGGCAAAATTGTTCTAGTTGCTAATTAATCACAGCCAAGACAATTACATTCTTAATTATTATTCCAACCAGTCCATCTTTGGCTGCTAATAAGTCACAATCAATCAAGTTCTAGTCACAATCGAAACGTGATTTGCTCATTAAGGACAGCTAGTCCAAATCTAGCTGCTGATTAATTATCTTAGAACCTTTTAGATCTGTTCATGGATTTTCCACTTCCAGATTAGATATCTGAGTCAATTATCGCTGAGCCAATGACGTCATAATATGAGGTCAGGTGACGTCAGACGAGCAGCTCCCGCGCATGTCGCCTGGGCGGACGTGACGTCACCTGTATCTTGTCGCCCACCTCGCGAATCTCAATCACGTGATCATCGCTAGACACGTGACTTCTGCTCCTGACCGGCACGACCGGCTTAGCTCTGCTTGACGCCGATTTAGCCGGCATGGTCGTGTCAGTTGCCGGTACTGCCGGCTTCAATACGTCAGTCGCCGGCTCGTCCGGCTCAGGAATGCAGCTCGCCGGTACAGCCGGCTGCTCGGCCAGAACAGGGCTGTTTCTCACGGTCTCGCTGGCGCTGGTCCGACGTGAGCCGGAAGTGAACGCATGACAGGAAGCGGAAGTTCTGATGGCCGACATGTTGATGTCCAGACCGCCGGCAGCGGTCAGCTCGCTGGCGCTGACCACATGGGGGAGTGGGGGCGGTGCCAGAGTTTTCAGCAGAGGGCAAACGGTTTTTGGCGGGAAGATGGAGCTCTCTGAAAACAACTTCTGCTTCTCCGACGGTGCCAGAGTTTTATTGGACGAGGACGTGGCGCTGCTGTCCGTGTCCTTGAACTTGGGCTTGCCGCTCTCGTCAGTGCCCGTAAAGCTGGAGCTCTTCAGCGACGAGTTCGATATGACGTCACTATCCATCAGTGACGTCACGATGCTGTTGAAACACGTCTTTGAGACTGACGTCAGCGGAGCGTCACTGGAACAGCTCCCAAACGAGCCTAAAGATCGGCCTAAAAGTTTCCGCTTGGGCATGGAGAGTTCCAGAAGCTTCCAGAACTTGTCGACTTTCTTGCTGGAGCTGGGCTCCTCCTCGCCTGGCCACTGGATGTACGTGACGGTGTTGATGATGGTCCGCAGGTTCGAGTCCATCTCAGGCATGTCGTCCACGCTCTCCAGTACGATGGGGATGATCTTGTGCTTGAGTCTCAGCATCTCATACTGCGCCTTCTGGTACTCCATGCGGCACCACTCGGACGACACGTAGCTGGGCGACAGCACCATGATGGTGCGGCGGCTGTTCTCTATGGCGTGGATGATGTTGTTGGCGATGGCTGGGGAGTTACAACAGGGGAGAGTTACAACAGGGGAGAGTTACAACAGGGGAGAGTTACAACAGGGGAGAGTTACAACAGGGGAGATTTATAACAAGGGAGAGTTACAACAGGGGAGAGTTACAACAGGGGAGAGTTACAACAGGGGAGAGTTGCAACAGGGGAGAGTTACAACAGGGGAGAGTTACAACAGGGGAGAGTTACAACAGGGGAGAGTTACAACAGGGGAGAGTTACAACAGGGGAGAGTTACAACAGGGGAGAGTTAGTACAGGGGAGAGTTACAACAGGGGAGATTTATAACAAGGGAGAGTTACAACAGGGGAGAGTTACAACAGGAGAGAGTTACATTAGGGGAGAGTTACAACAGGGGAGAGTTACAACAGGGGAGAGTTGCAACAGGGAAGGATTACAGTATTGGTGAGTTAGTACATGGGGAGGTACATTTGTGAGGTCACAAAAGTACCTGTTTTAATTACAAGATGGTGGAGATGTGTGTCTAACATGTCTGTGAGTACTCACGTTCTCCGGGTGGAAAGTCCCGGAAGTGCAGACACAACCGGAAGTCGAGTTCCTTCTCCAGCTTGGGGTAGAGGTGCTGCAGGATGAACCTCTCGTCCCGGGGGGTGGACTTGTAGGAGATGAAGGCGTCATACTCTTTGTCATCTGGGGACACATTGGGGGGTACAAAGTACTCGTGTTGTGGGGGACACATTGGGTGGTACAGTCAATGTGGGGGACACATCAGTTGGTACAGTCAATGTATGGGGGACATCAATTGGTACAGTCAATGTATTGGGGGACACATTGGGTGGTACAGCACTAAGCAAACCTACCACCTCACCACCCCTTATCCCATTATCTTGCGACTTTCACGACCACGATAGGGGGGGGGGGGGCTTCGTCTACACAATACTCTCCCTCCCCACCCTGTGCTGTGGCGATGTGACACATGAGATTATTTTAAAAAGTATACACTTCAAGCCAAAACTTTTAGAACCCCTGAACTGAATGAATCAAACATGACGTCACCACATAAGTCAGGTACAAGACACGACCAGCCAGGCACGACGCCATGTTGTTTTACTATCAGCTATTTAATGACTTGATCGTCTAGCCGGCAGAGGTTAATTGGGGTTAGATCATCGCCACGGGGGGGGGGGGGGGGGGGGGTTAGATCATCGCCACGTTAGGACACAGACAGGCTAGGTGACGTAGGTATGACGTCACTAGGCTGCAGTAGAGCGTCGACTTAAACCAGAAACAAAACAAGTTGTTGACGGAAGTGCTCAGATATTCTACATCCATTGATGGACGAAAGGTCGCAGAAATGAACTGATCCCACTTCAAAGCTAACCACCCCCCCTCCCCGCTGTGTAGTGTCGGCATTAACATGTTGCCCACGACCTGATGGCTGGGCTACCATCAATCATCATCACGTGATCAAGCTTCAAGACCAAAACGGCGAAAATTTTTATAAATCCCACCATTGTTAACATAGCGAGCATGTCGTTCAGAAGATGGCGTTACTATCAATAAGCTTAGCGGCAACATAACTCAATGAATATTATTAAAGTAAAGTTCCCTTTCAAGGCTGGCGATCTGTAGGGCAAGTGAAGTAGAGTGACCTCGGCATATGAAGAGATGGTGTGGTCAGCACTATGCCCAGCCGCCTTTACTTTCCCCAACGCGAGTTAGGTACCCATCAGAGTTGGGTGGACTCAGGGACGGTCTACTGACTTGAACCCGGATTCGAACTCGAGACTTACGGGTTAGCAGTTCGGCTTTCTACCGCTAGACCACTCCGCCCCGAAAATTATTATTACATAAACAAATTAATCATTCGAGAAACTAGCAATGCAACTTATTTTTTTTAAATTTAGTTGTGGGTTTTGCAAGTAAAAAAAAAAAATTCTCATCTTAACTCGTTTCGACCATTTTAACCAAAGCCCCCCCCCCCCCCCCCCCCAACATATGTAACACGGGACACACGTGACCCCGTGGAATCTAGTTCTAGAACCTACCATCATCTTCGTACTCCTGGAAGTAGAAGACAAGTTTCCTGATGGGTAGCCACTGACGCCTCCACAGGATGTAGGGCAGTAGGACACAGACCAGGGCCAGGCAGATGGCCGTCACCACGGCCACGATGGCCACCTCCCACGCTGCCAGGCCATCCGGCTCCAAGGTGAACTCTGGGCCATTGAGAAATATTCGATTATTTGACTATCTTAATAAGTTGTAATTTTAGAATAAAATAGGTGACAGATCTCTGGGAAATTTAGAAACATACAAATATCATGCTTATCTTTTCTAAAAAAACATTTTTAAACTGGCACTAAGGAAGTGTGGGGAGATTATGAGGAGAGTGTGGGGAGAGTGTGGGGAGAATGTAGGCTAGCAATCAAATATTCCTCACACAATTTAAAAGCATATGGCACTAGATGGAATGAACTATGAAACAAGCTAGTAGGCCTATCATTCTTTGTGAAGAAAAGTTTTAAATTTTAAATTTTGACTTTCTAACGCGGAGTACATCATAACAAAGACATATTTGAGGTGGGGGGGGGGGTCACTTGGGATTTATGAATATTCATAAGCTGATTTAAATGTTGGGGCGCATGCGTCAAGTGTGACTGACATAGTATCTCACGTGACTGACATGGTTGATAGCTGACAACAAACACCAGCACTTGGAATTGTGGGGGATGGGACCACACTTGGACTGGTTTGAACGTTGTTGTTGTTTGTTTGTTTGTTTATTTGTTTGCTTGTTTGTAGCACTAGACGAGGCCACTGGATGCCACACAATAGTTCATATAACCAGTAAACAACTTGCAGCAAAAATCGGATCTTTGGGAAACTGTAAATTATAGTAAACATTATTTTAAATCTATGGTCTTAAATGTTTTTTTGTCTCTTTAAACTTTCCTTTTAATATTTTTTTAAACCTTACATTTTAAACATTTTTTTTAAACCTGTAGTCTTAAATATGTTTTCTTAAGCGTTTTGTCTCAAACATTTTTAAAACCTTTCGACAAAAACTTTTTCACATAAACCTTTTCACTTAAACATTTCATTTCTTCTTTAAAACACTAAACTACTAAAGCTTTCGACGTAAATTCTGTCTTGTTTAACCCCACGGCCATCTAAAGAAAAATTTCCCCCCACGGCCATCTAAAGAAAAATCTAACCCCACGGCCATCTAAAGAAAAATTTAACCCCACGGCCATCTAAAGAAAAATGTAATTAGACAATGACATGTCGTACAGGACAGGCCAAGACAGAGCTAGAGTTTATTTCGTTGAGACATGTGTCTTGGTGTCTTAAATTTTAACGGGTCGTAGCGTACATGTTTAGCTTTAGACAGCATAGACACGTTTCACTGGCGTCTTGTGAAGACGATAGCAAAATCTTTGTTTAGATTTTTTTGTTGTTAGTTTAGACGGACTTTAGAAAGATCTACATGTTGTAAGTTAAGACAGACTTAAGACAGACTTAAGACAGACTTAAGACAGATTTAAGACAGACTTAAGACAGACCTAAGACAGACTTAAGAGAGACTTAACACAGACTTAAGACAGACCTAAGACAGACTTAAGACAGACCTATCTGTTGCAGCTTAAGACATAGGCTACTTAAGACAGACTTAAGACAGACATAAGACAGACCTAAGACAGACCTAAGACAGACTTCAAACAGAACTAAGACAGACCTAAGACATACCTAAGACAGACTTAAGACAGACCTAAGACAGACCTAAGACAGACTTCAGACAGACTTAAGATAGACTTCAGACAGACCTAAGACAGACTTAAGATAGACCTAAGACAGACTTCAAACAGAACTAAGACAGACCTAAGACTGACTTAAGACAGACTTAAGGCAGACATAAGACATACCTAAGACACACCTAAGATATACTTCAGACAGACCAACCTGTGGTGACAAACTTCCGTATCTCGTCACACTGGTGCCCCGTGTAGTTGTGCTGACAGATGCAACCCGTTTGGTTGGAGCCAACCCGGCTACAGACGCCATGTTCCCCACAGTCCAGTGGACAGGGTTGTTCACAGAAGGTGCCAGTCCAACCCTGCGTGCAGTTACAGGTGTGGACACCTGCACGTGGCTCGCACCTGCGGGATGTCAACATCATGCTCACACATCACAAGCCAACATCACACTTCACACATCACAAGCTAACATCATACTTCACACATCACATGCCAACATCACACTTCACACATCACATGCCAACATCACACTTCGCGCATCACAAGCCAACATCACACTTCGCACATCACAAGCCAACATCACACTTCCCACATCACAAGCCAACATCACACTTCACACATCACAAGCCAACATCACTCTTCGCACATCACAAGCCAACATCATTCTCATACATCACAAGCCAACATCACACTTCACACATCACAAGCCAACATCATTCTCATACATCACAAGCCAACATCGTTCTCATGCATCACAAGCCAACATCATTTCACACATCACAAGCAACATCGCACTTCACACATCACATGACATCATGTGCCACACACATGTTCACACGACATGACCTTTGAACTGTGTGGGTGAGCAGCCTACCTGCCGTGGATACAGGTCAAGTGAGCACACGGGTCATCGGTCAGCACGACACAGCGTGGTTTGAAGTCGTTGCCCATCATACACTTCCCTCCACGCGCCCCGCACTGCTCGTCACAAGAGTCATCAGGTTCGGATCCCGGCGGGACTGCGGCACTTGTCGTCAGGTCAAAGTTCATCTGCTGGCCCGCACGTCCAGGGTTGAGCCAGGCAAACAGTTCCTGCTCGCTGGTCAGTCTGGGGAGGTGGGGGGAGGGGTCGGCAGACATGTTGGCACCGGATGTTGGGCTGGGTGTGGCAGGGCGTGCAGGGGCGGGGGTGTTGTTGGTGGGGTGCCAGATATCAGAGAATGATATCAGCGGGAGGAAGCCATTTCTGGTGACGTCACGCGTCTGCTGTGCGACGGTTGTGCCGGTAAAAGAGCCTGGAGCTACACCTTCCTGTCTACTGACATCTTGTGCTGATTCTCTACTGTAGCTTTCTGGAGTTTCTGGCATTTGGGTGGCTGATGACGCACGTGGTGTGCTTGAAGGATGACCTCCCGTTGCGGTGTCTGCTACAGAGTGAAGCAGACGTGAGGCAGGTGGTGTTGTCGTGGGGTCAGGTGTGTCGTCTGCGGTGTGGCTGGGTGTCCTAGATGCTGTGTCGGACACGATTGTTTTTGTTGTCAAATCTGATTGGTTAGCGTGGTCAGCTGATGAGGTCGACTGCGCCGAAGCTGGGTTTGGTCTAGATTCTGATCTCGTTTCTCTGTAGTCTGACGGCTCTGGCGTTGTAGGCTGGGGTGGGGTGGTGATAGGTTGGGGTAGGTCGCTAGTTGGCTGGGATAGGTTGGTGGTGGATTTGGGTAGGTTGTTGGTGGTCTGGGGTAGGTTGTTGGTGGTCTGGGGTAGGTTGGTGGTGGGCTGGGGTAGGTTGGTGGTGGGCTGGGGTAGGTTGGTGGTGGCTTCTCGACTCTTTAATTCTCGTCGCGCGCCTTGTGATGGTGGTGGGGTGGTGGGGGCAATGAAGAAGGTTGGGGTCTTAGCTGTGGTGGGGGCAGGTGACTGTTGTAGGGCAGGGGCAGATTGTTGGTGAAGGACAGGGGCAGACTGCTGTAGGGCAGGGGCAGATTGTTGGTGAATGGCAGGGGCAGAATGCTCTAGACTGAGGGCAGATGCCACAGACAGGAAGACGAGAGACTCGTTGGCTGGGTGGGACTCGGGTGTCGTTAGGTCTGGGGCGGTGGGGGTGAGCCTTGGTGCTGGAGTAGGGGGGCTAGCGGTTGGTGGTGTTGGTGATGGTGGTGGCTGTGTCATTCGTGTTGGTGGTGGAGGTGGTATTGATGTTGTTATTTTTGTGGATTTTATTGTTGTAGTTGTTGGTTTTTTTGTTGTAGTTGTTTGTTTTGTAGTTGTTGGTTTTGTCGTTGTTGTAGTAGTTTTTGATGTGGTCGTTGGTAGTTTTGTTGTCCTGGTTGTGAATTTTATGGTTGTGGTTGTTCGTTTTGTTGTGGGTGATGTTGTTATTCGTTTTGTTGTAGGTGATGTTGTTGTTCGTTTTGTTGTAGGTTTTGTAGTTGTGGTTGTTCGTTTTGTTGTAGGTTTTGTGGTTGTGGATGTTCGTTTTGTAGTTGTGGGTGCTCGTTTTGTGGTTGTGGTTGTTCGTTTTGTTGTTGTGTTTGCTGAAGGTCTCGCTCTAGCAGGCGGGGCATACACACGCCTTACAGTGACGGGATGGTGTGTCGTTGTTTCAGGTAAAGGCGTCAGCGGCCTCGGTGTGGGCAGGTTTAGTTCCTTGGACATCTTCTCGAGTATCTTGTGCTCCAGCACGGCCATTGTTTTCTTGATGCGCGGGATGACGTCCTTGACACAGTGGGGCATGCTGGGATTGCCCGCGCACACACAAAACTCCTCGCACTGGCTCTTCTCTATGACGCACATCATGTCGATGCCGCAGATGTAGGGCAGACGCTGGCAGCACTCGACGTGGCTGATGTACTGGTCGTTCCCGCCCCCACCCGACGACCCCCTGCCCAGAGTTGTCGAGTAGTTCCACTCCCATCGCTTGACCTGGCCTCGTAGAATGGCCTTGGCCATCGCCTCGCCATCAGAGGGTGGCCTGGGTCTGGGCGTCGGCTCGTCCTCGTACTTGTACGTGTCTTTGCTGACCGGGGGAGAGGACCAGTCGGCCATGGGGCCGGGCTGGTCGGCCATGGTTGACCCAGGGGAGTGGTCAGCCAGTGGGAGGAAGAAATCCTGACTCTCCTGATTCCTCCCTTGGCCGCCGACCATGTTTCCAGAGTCGATTCCAGGGTTGGGGCCAGGTTCAAGGCCGTTGGAAGAATAGTCCCAGCTTTGAGCCGTGTGGGAAGAATCAAAGACCGGGATGCCCTGCCACTGACCCATCTTCTGGCTGACCCCGGGGGAGCCGCTCGACTTGCCGGCGGTGTTCCGGCTAGTACCGGAAGATGCCGGCACCAAGAGAGTCTCCGGTATCTTATCCCACCTGTTGATCTCCATCAGACTGAACAGGTCACCGGGAGAGCTCTGGGCACCGGAAGCCGGCTGACCACGTGACTGTAAGGCGGTTTTCACAGTGGTCCGCCCCTGCCTACTCTCATTGGTGGGCGGGGTGGGTGGGGATCCGGAGAATAGAGCTTCAAGGTTTGTATAAAAGTCGGAAAATTGACAGTCCACCAAAGTTACGAAACTAAACACCAAAACAGATGCGGCCAGCAGGTCTGAACTGAGCGAAAATTTCACGGATTTCATGGTTTTTTTTTTTATTATATTTCTGCCTTTTGGTTTCACTATGTACACGCTTCACTGATCGCTTTTTGATTTTCTGATTGAACTTTAATCCTTTGAATTTAATCCACAACAATAATCCTGGTTAGAAAACTTGTCTGCTGACGATTCTTGTGTACATCGTCAACCTGTGGTTTAGTGCTTCAGTCTAGGGTACCATCATAGATCTCCCAGATGTCGTCTTGGGTCAGGGGTCAAGGGTCAGTCACTGACCACAGCTGCTGGCGTGGGGTCAGGGGTCAGTCACTGATCTCAGCTGGTGACTTGGGTCTAGGGGTCAGGGGTCAGTCACTGACCTCAGCTGCTGGCGTGGGTCTAGGGGTCAGGGGTCAGTCACTGACCTCAGCTGCTGGCTTGGGTCAGGGGTCAATCAGTGACCTCAGCTGCTGGCTTGGGTCAGGGGTCAATGCAGTCAACAATTCTGGGTCTGTTAGTCCATCACTGACCACCACTACCCTAGCCGTTGACCATGCTGTACGTCTGACATGTCATGCAGCATCTGTCATGCAGACTACACGCATCATGCGGACAGTGGGTGCTGTACCATGCCCACATCTAAGTAGAGCCTGTGTGATTAAATCATTTAAACAAAACATTAGAAAAAACATACATGCCACATAGATCTATCATACATCAACTCAAGTGTGTTGAAGGAAATTTGTTATTAACGCTAATTACGTTACATTTTTTTTATCGCGCAGTAATTTTCTAACCGCACAAAAATTATTTCAACACATTAACGAAATGATTAGTTTTTGTTCAGCTTTCAACGTGACATTGTCACATCATCAAAACGTGACATCGTCACACTGTCACGGTACCACGCCGTCACTTAGCCCCACTGTCACACAATGTCACAATACTACAACTACCACCACCAATGATATGTTACCCTCGAATAAACACCACCTTACCGTCCATAATAAACACCACCTTACCGTCCATTTCTCTCGAGACATTTTGGGATGAAAATACACCACCTTCCCAGCGGTGTGTTCTGTACATAAGGGGCGGATAATCCAGGGACAAGAACAAAAAAAAACACTCGCACGAGTTACACAACAAAATGTCTAAGCCAGCTCCTGCCAGCTAATCCTGCCTGTGTCAAGATGTTAGGCCAAATTCTAGGCGTTAGCCAGGTGAGACAAGGCGAGACAGGTAAGGCGTCACATTGTTGGCCAGGTAAGATGTCACATTGTTGGCCAAGTAAGATGTCACATTGTTGGCCAAGTAAGATGTTACATTGTTGGCCAGGTAAAATGTCACATTGTTGGCCAGGTAAAATGTCACATTGTTGGCCAGGTAAAATGTCACATTGTTGGCCAGGTAAAATGTTACATTGTTGGCCAGGTAAAATGTCACATTGTTGGCCAGGTAAAATGTCACATTGTTTGCCAGGTAAAATGTCACATTGTTGGCCAGGTAAGATGTCACATTGTTGGCCAGGTAAAATGTCACATTGTTGGCCAGGTAAGGCGTCACATTGTTGGCCAGGTAAAATGTCACATTGTTGGCCAGGTAAAATGTTACATTGTTGGCCAGGTAAAATGTCACATTGTTGGCCAGGTAAAATGTCACATTATTTGCCAGGTAAAATGTGACATTGTTGGCCAGGTAAGATGTCACATTGTTGGCCAGGTAAAATGTCACATTGTTGGCCAGGTAAGGCGTCACATTGTTGGCCAGGTAAGATGTCACATTGTTGGCCAGGTAAAATGTCACATTGTTGGCCAGGTAAAATGTCACATTGTTGGCCAGGTAAAATGTTACATTGTTGGCCAGGTAAAATGTCACATTGTTGGCCAGGTAAAATGTCACATTGTTTGCCAGGTAAAATGTCACATTGTTGGCCAGGTAAGATGTCACATTGTTGGCCAGGTAAAATGTCACATTGTTGGCCAGGTAATATGTTACATTGTTGGCCAGGTAAGGCGTCACATTGTTGGCCAGGTAAAATGTCACATTGTTGGCCAGGTAAAATGTCACATTGTTGGCCAGGTAAAATGTTACATTGTTGGCCAGGTAAAATGTCACATTGTTGGCAGGTAAAATGTCACATTGTTGGCCAGGTAAAATGTTACATTGTTGGCCAGGTAAAATGTCACATTGTTGGCAGGTAAAATGTCACATTGTTGGCCAGGTAAAATGTCACATTGTTGGCCAGGTAAGGCGTCACATTGTTGGCCAGGTAAAATGTCACATTGTTGGCCAGGTAAAATGTCACATTGTTGGCCAGGTAAAATGTTACATTGTTGGCCAGGTAAAATGTCACATTGTTGGCAGGTAAAATGTCACATTGTTGGCCAGGTAAAATGTCACATTGTTGGCTAGGTAAGGCGTCACATTGTTGGCCAGGTAAAATGTCACATTGTTGGCCAGGTAAAATGTCACATTGTTGGCCAGGTAAAATGTCACATTGTTGGCCAGGTAAAATGTCACATTGTTGGCCAGGTAAAATATTACATTGTTGGCCAGGTAAAATGTCACATTGTTGGCCAGGTAAAATGTCACATTGTTGGCCAGATAAAATGTCACATTGTTGGCCAGGTAAAATATTACATTGTCGGCCAGGTAAGATATCACATTGTTGGCCAAATAATCTTACTAATAGACAGCTCTGTACCTATGAAAATGTACTTAGATGGTAAAGCATCGTTTACAGCACGCCCTGCCGGTCTGATAGATTGCCTTATGACAGACGTTTTATACAGCATTGTCGTGTTAACGTTTTATAGAGCAGTATCGTGTTAATGTTGTAATTCCAACATTTTGCTGAGGTTTTGATTCGGTTGGTACTGCAGGCACTGCAGGCACTGTAGGTCTCTTTATTTTATACCATATTCTTTAATTTTTTTGAATTTTTGGGTTTATCAAAGCTTGAATTCGTGTGTTAAATTCATACCAATGACCAACACACACAACACATCAAACTTAAGTTGCTAGGTCGAATCCTTGCTGATATACACAATACATCTGGCTTAGACACTTGCGTGTAAACGATAGTTCTGTAGAGGGGGGGGGGGGGAGACTGGTGTTGTGACACACATAGTCATGTGATTGACGTCTAATCATAGCCCAGGACCAGCACCTGACAGGTGCAACATGACCACGTGACCAAAGATGGACGGCTTTGTTTATCTGGACCATCACTACACAAAACACTGGAGGGGAGGGGGGTGTGTGGGAGGGTAGGGGAGGGGGAGGGGTGTGGGAGGGGGAGGGAAGGGAAGGAGTGGGGGAGGGGGAGGGGTGTGGGAGGGGAGGAGAGGGGAAGGGGTGTGGGAGGGGGAGGGGTGTGGGAGGGTAGGGGAGGGGTGTGGGAGGGTAGGGGAGGGGTGTGGGAGGGTAGGGGAGGGGTGTGGGAGGGTAGGGGAGGGGGAGGGGAGGGGAGGGGGATGGGGTGTGGGAGGGGAGGGGAGGGGAGGGGGAGGGGAGGGGAGGGGAGGGGGAGGGGAGGGGGATGGGGTGTGGGAGGGGAGGGGAGGGGGATGGGGTGTGGGAGGGGGAGGGAAGGGGTGGGGTAGGGGGAGGGGTGGGGGAGGGGAGGGCATGGATTGTTCGTGGCAATAGATTGGGTGGGGCTTTACATTGGTAGAAGGGTAAGCCAATAGTTTGGGGTGGGGTTAAGGCAATGGATGGGAGCAGATAATTCAAGATATTAGCGTGGATTATGTGTTAGGCAATAGATTAATTCATTAAGATTTAATTAAATTTAGCACTTACGGTAAACATCAGCAATAAAGTGGGCGGAAAGTGGGAAGGGCTGAGGTAAATAAACTAAGATAAATAAAAAAGTGTTTTAGCTAAAATATGCCATGTTTTACACTAACTAAATTTGCCAAACTTCCTGTTACACTAACTAGATAAACCCTAACTTTCTGTTACCAGTGGCGTAGCCAGGATCGTCTTGGGGGGGGGGGGAGGAGAGGGGTTCAAATTTCTTCCATCATTATAAATAAATTTTTTTAAAAATTTAAAAAAATTAAAATTATATATATATATATATATATTTATATATATATATATATATATATATATATATATATATATATATATATATATATATATATATATATATATATATATATATATATATATATGTCATTGTTTCGCTATGATGTAATATAAATTGAAAGTAGTACTCTGAAGAAATAAGAAACACACAAGGTAGGCCGACAAAACAAAACAAAACTAATTATCACTCTAAACAAAAAAAAGAAACAAAATATAAACACAATACAACCGAAAACAATGAAAGCAAAACAATCTGTTTTGTAATCCTTGTAGTAAAAACAATTTGACATAATGATTCCTAGAATATTAAGACATGCGAACTAGGGGAAATAGTCACTCACTTAATATAAATATGCATATGTCTAGACATTTAAGTTTAAATGTCAAAACAGATCAATAATTACTTTAGTATGTAATAAAGTAGCTTAACACTATTCGTTTTTACAAAAATATGTTGTCTACTATCAGAATTAAATATGTTGTCATCATAAATGCTAAAATATTACAGCATCATGAATGTTTTTGAAATCAGAGAAATGGTATAAAACCACACTTCTCAATGTAGTAGATAAACTAAATCTAGTTGGTAGAATATTCTGGAAAAAAAAGCCATTACAAAACTAAACTGAATATTTCAAAACCCGTCTGTAGTTTCTTACCTACCATGTCTTTGCTCCTTACAAAAATCCTGGAATCTCATTTAAAATTTAATTTTTGATTCTCCAACAATCAGGTAAGTCGTGTTTACGCGTGACTGCGCTTGAACCCACCCGTCACTCACCGTCTGTAGGGGGGGGGGGGGATGGCGTCTGTCACGTGGTCAGCGTGGATATTTACAGCGGCAGATGACCCGCTTCCGTCGCACGATTACAAAAACAAATAAAACACCTGAGGACATTCCACCGGCAAACTTCGCTCAGAGGTGGAAACATAGGGGTTCTTATGTTACACTACCACACAACCACGCAGCCACACAGCCACACAGCCACACAGCCACACAGCCACACAGCCACACAGCCACACAGCCACACAGCCACACAGCCACACAGCCACACAGCCACACAGCCACACAGCCACACAGCCACACAGCCACACAGCCACACAGCCACACAGCCACACAGCCACACAGCCACACAGCCACACAGCCACACAGCCACACAGCCACACAGCCACACAGCCACACAGCCACACAAACATACAAACACACAGCCACACAGCCACACAAACATACAAACACACAGCCACACAGCCACACAAACATACAAACACACAGCCACACAAACATACAAACACACAGCCACACAACCACACAGTCACACAACCACACAGCTACACAGTCAGATAACGACACAGTAACACAACCACATAGCCACACAACCACACAGTCACACAACCACATAGCCACACAACCACACAAACACACACACACAGCCACAGAACCAAACCGCCACACAACCACACAACCACACAACCACACAACCACACAACCACACAGCCACACAGCCACACAGCCACACAGCCACACAGCCACACAGCCACACAGCCACACAGCCACACAGCCACACAGCCACACAGCCACACAGCCACACAGCCACACAGCCACACAGCCACACAGCCACACAGCCACACAGCCACACAGCCACACAGCCACACAAACATACAAACACACAGCCACACAGCCACACAAACATACAAACACACAGCCACACAGCCACACAAACATACAAACACACAGCCACACAAACATACAAACACACAGCCACACAACCACACAGTCACACAACCACACAGCTACACAGTCAGATAACGACACAGTAACACAACCACATAGCCACACAACCACACAGTCACACAACCACATAGCCACACAACCACACAAACACACACACACAGCCACAGAACCAAACCGCCACACAACCACACAACCACACAACCACACAACCACACAACCACACAACCACACAGCCACACAGCCACACAGCCACACAGCCACACAGCCACACAGCCACACAGCCACACAGCCACACAGCCACACAGCCACACAGCCACACAAACACACAAACAC